ACGATAACAACTTTTCCCCAATACAAATAATCAAGAGAGGCTATACTGTACTTGTAAACAAAATCCCTCAAGTGCATCTCTCCTAATTTTGATTGTTAATAACTTTTAATTACTAATCTAGATTGTGCGCTGAAGGACGAGTTGTTGAAGCACTGTAACATTAACATCGATCCTGTTATGTCTTAGACGAACTCTATGCCATTTGCCGTTTGTTCTTTGGTAGATGAACAATTGTGTTTTTCTTTGCGACTATTAAAGTAGAAATTCCCAAGCCATGTTATTTATATCGTTCTCTCCACTACCAACCCTGTTATCTATTGTATGAAGCAATAGAAATCCTTGACATTGAAATATTGTAGCTACAGTCGGTACTAAACTGTTTTACTCCATTCATACGCTCGCACTGGCCATTTCCTTCGACTAGTTCAGTGTTTCTCAAATTGAGGGCCATGGCCCCCAAGGGGGTCACAGTAAGATTTTAGGGGGGCCCATGGCAGGCTAGTGTAAGTAGTATATGTTTGGAGAAAATGTGGAAACTCTGATTCAACCTTTTTTTGTTACTTTGCCTTGTTAAGGGAGAAATCTTTTTTTTTTGTCATTGTGTGTAATCATAATACCCATACGGTACAGTTTTGATATTTACACAGTATGGTGCAGCAGCTAGTTTTTCATTTCCAACGGATTCGCTCAGATTGCACGATTCTAGTTCCTGTTCAGACGGATTCCTTGATCTCAGAACGATTCTGCTGCCAGAGACCTCTATGAAGAAAAATCTCTGACAGTATTCTGGTGCTCAATGTATCAGTCATATCCAAAAGTTAGTGAGATCGACACTTGGAGTCCTCTTGCCATTTTCTACTACTTATTTATGTGAATCTGGTTTCTCCACCTTCTTCAAATAGAGAATAAAAGCCGAAACCGGTTACATGTGGACCCAGACATGAGATGTGCTTTATCAGTGACTCAATCTCGAATCAGTCGACTGACTGAATGGAAACGATGTCATCCCATTGAACTGTAACAAAATATGCATTCTGTTTGATGACTGTAAACATTAAAATAAAGGAAGAGAACCAAAACAGTTTATTTTCATCATTATTTGTTTGGGGCTTGGGAGAGAACTGAAGGGGGGCCACGAGGATGTTGAGTGTTTCTCATGGGGGGAATGGAGTGAAAAAGTTTGAGAAACACTGGACTAGTTGAACTGCTTCAGCTCAGAAGACCTAAAAGCAGACCCACGATCTGAGTGGATTAAGGCTGGCATGCCAAAAATAGCAAACAATTGAGTCAAACATCTAATCACAGTTATAGCAGATGTATCAGGACATGGGAATGCAAAAGGGAACCTAGAGAATACATCCACCACAGTAACCAGATAGAGATTAGGTGTAATACTTGGCAAAGGACCCTTAAAAATACGAAGTCTTTCAAAAGGTTGAGTTGACTTTATCAACTGTGACAGCTGCGGATGATAAAACCTGGGCTTGCATTCAACACAAACTTGACAAGTATAAGAAACTCTCTTGGCGTCAACAGAATAAGGGAGATTACAGGTTCTCACAAAATGAACCATTCTAGTCACTCCGGGATGGCAGAGAGAATTGTGCATTTCAGCCAACCTGTCACTGCCCATGGACGCACAAAAGGCCCTAGAAAAGGTATCAGCAGCTACATTCTCTTTTCCAGGACTATAGACAATGTCAGTGTCAACATGCCAGTTCGATCCTCCAGCGCTGAATTTTATTTATTTTTTATTTTACCCGCAGACCTAGAATAAAAAAAAAATGATTTCTGATCTGTCACCAATGTAATGTGACGTCCAGTCAGATAATGCCTCCATTTACGCAAGGCCTCCACTATGGAATATGCCTCCTTTTCCACTGATGAGTGCTTCTGCTCACTGGCATTCAAGGTCCTGGAATTAAATGCAATAGGTCGCCCAGCCTGATTTAAGACTGCATCAATAGCACAGTCTGAAGCGTCCGTTTTAACCACAAAAGGTATAGATTCATCAATACAATAAACCACAGCATCATTTATCTCCTTCGGAGTCGCAAAAGCATCTTTAGCTTCATTTGGCAAGGGGAAAAGAGTTGACTTGAATGAGTGGCCTCATTTTGCGTGAATAGTTAACAGTCAACTGTGAAAACACTCAGAGCTTGTCGTAACGACTTCATGTCGTGTGGAACAGGAAGATCTCTGAGAGGTTTAAGATGTTCAGGATCAGGTTTAATTTTTCCATTATAAACGGAATATCCTAACAAGTTGAGACCCAATAGAAAGGTGCATTTATCATTATTAATAGTGAGGTTACTCTTTTTGGCAGCTTCGAGAAACTTATGCAGATTAATATCGGGTGGCCAGACGTCCGGCTTTAGGCCGGACAGTCCGGCTTTTGAGCACTCTGTCCTCGTCCTGCGCTACCTCGAGCCGGACGTTAATTTGCCCTCCTTTTTGTTGTCTGACTAAAAAGAATTATATAAATTACCTTAGATATACTTAAAACAGAGGGAACTGAAGGTCATAATAACCGTTAACGTATTTTTATTATACGTAGTTGCCGTTGTCAACACTGCTGAGGAGCCGCAGTGTACGACAGAACGAGTCAAGTTGTCAACACCGTCAACACGTCCGACTTTCCGAGATGGTCAGTCTGCCCAAGGCCGCAGTGGAAAGAGGGTGACGTTTTTGTTCTTGCTTCAATTTGGTTAGCATATGCTGTTTCAGCAGGTGTAAAAAGGAATATTAATTTCTTTCAGCTCTTTATTTATACTGTATGAATGCATGTATGTACTGTAATATATACAGTGCGTTTAAAAAAAATGAAATTTTGAAAAATGACCATATTATAGTGATAATTGACATATCAACAATTCTTCTAAGTATATTTTGTATATTTTATACAACTTTTTTATATATTTTCAACTCATCATTAAACACTCTTAATTTAGGTTAAAAAATAGGTGTCGCAAAAAAAAAGAAGCAAAAAAATGTCCTTTTTGGAAATTTGGAAATGTCTAAGTAAGCAAAAGTATAAGCAAGAGAGTTTCCAGCAATAAAATCATCCATAATATTCTGAAAAGGAGCCACACCATTGGTGGCACCAAAAGGCAACCTACAAAATCGATACAATTTTCCACCATAATGATAGGCAGACTTCAAATCAGTGGTTGTAAAGAACCGGTACTGTGCTACCCAATTGACTAAGTCACCTATACGGGGCAGTAGGTACGCATCAAGTTGAGTAAAAGGGTAGTTTTCTATCTCAAAGTGTTCTCTGATGGCAGTGTGAAGAGCTACTAACCGGATATTATGTTCCTGATGACTCACCTTTGTGCTCGCAAATTCTGTTATGTAACTATCTTGTTGCATTGGGGCGCGGATATGTAAATAAGTGCAAAGCACTGGATATGAGATCAAAAGGTTTCGTTTATATTCTCTTTAAGAAGGAATTAACCTTTTGTAAAGTTATTGGTAAAAATAAAGCTGAATTCAATGTGTGGAGTCTTAAAAACGTTTGTAACTTCGAATGCTAAAGCTACGTGCCGAGGTAAGGGAGCCTTATATGCCTTTTGTCTTTAATAATCGTTTTTATCACAGGTTTAGGTGAAATTAAGAATTTACGTAAAAATAAAAAGTAAAAAAATATGACTAGGAAGGGCATTAGAAAAGAAAATTACGAAGGAATTGCATTCCTTTCTCAAAAAAGAAACGAAGACTAGAACATTTATGCATGAATAAAAAAAATAATCAAGGTTTTAAAAAGACAAACGAAAAAAACAAAAAAACATGCAGATGTCGGTCCAAGGCATGATCTTGTACAAACTCTGTATATATGGGGGTATGTAATGCGTAGCGAGCATAAAATGTAGTGCTGTAATAGTTTTTTTTTTACAAAACTTTCAGTAAAACTACCTGGAATGTGGATGTGCGTCGAGTGAATTGAGACTATTCTACTAAATGACAAGGAGACGAAAGAGAAAGTGAGCCAAATGAGTCAACTAACAATACAGTATTAAAAAAAAAAAGAGGAATCCAATTGAATCTATTTGAGGTATTCGTACTGACGAAACCATAGTGTTCAATGTAACAATCACTTGTTGCTACTCACCCAATGTATAGGAGTCATACCGGTAACTAGGTTGAAAGAACCAATCTAATTATTTATGTTAATTACACACTCCCAGTTTTTTCCATTGTACATTTTTTCTTCAAATCCTCAAATCAAACTTGAGATTGCACTGTTTCATTGGCATGGGAAATTTATGTAAAATACATGATTGTTAAAAACTAATGCACTACATTTATCAAAGGTTCAAAGTTGATACAATAATGTTTCTGGAACCTGCATGTGCTTAAAGAAAACGTTTATAATGTCTAAGGCCTAAAAATCAGTCATATTAATTTTCATATCCAGAAGTTGAACTAACTCAACGTCCTCTGTGTTCGTAAACACATCCAAATCTTAAAAAATTAGTGTCACCGCTGAATCCTTGATGAATGTAGTGTAATAGTATTTAATATTCATGGATTTGTATCAGTTTGTCGCGGCAAAGAAAAAGTGCAATCTCAAGTTTGAATTGACGGTGCGTGTGCGCTGAAATGAAAATCTATGTACAGTATTGTAAACTGTACTGTGGGCATACATAATTACTGTACACACCAATTCGTCTGGATTTCACCTTTTGTTGTACTCTCTTGTAATATGCCTTCACAGATGTAAAAGTTACATATATCATGGACTGAGATTGTCAGGAATGGGGATTTTATACACAATTTACGAGAGAGGGGGGGGGAGCAAGTTACAATACGGTCAGCTTAGAAATTATAATAAAAAATAACGCTTATTGGGAAAAGTGGAAATAAGATTTGATTTATTAGTTACTATGCGATATCATTAAACAAAAAAAAAAGAAGTTTACTGCATGCTGTGTGATATAGCTATCAAGTCTGTTTCTAGTCGTGGAATCTATTGAGAAACGGTGATTAATGGTAGCGTGGGAGCCAGCAGGTGTCTCCCCTACACCACCACCCACCAGCAGCAGCAGATATATACTGCACCGGAGACACTATCCGTACATTCAGTCTGCGCTTCAGCTGCCGTAAGTGTAAATCATCCTGCTTTGGTTAACCTTTTGGGTCAGTTATTTTGACAAATTTGACATTATTTTTTGTGAAGTATTTAAAATTGATACGGAATCTAACTTATCATAACTACTACTGAATCAAACCATTAAAAATCTTAAGACTGCAGACCATCAGTACGTTAACATTGATCCATTACCAACTAACGGGTGGAAGGTCTACCATGGCCACAGAGTCCCTTGTGACATGAACTACATAGTTCTCTCAGTGTTAGGAAATAAATCGTAGCCTACACCACCAGAATTTGCTGAATCGTTTTTGTAATAATGGTAAAAATTTGCCACTTAGCTTTAAAAATATAGTTTTCAGGTCAGTGCTCATAAATATGGCAAATGCCAAAATCAAACCTACCAACGACACACAACTGAACAAGATACTCACCGAGGGTGATGTAAGGTCCGCTATAAAGTGATTGCCATAAGATTTCTAAAAGTCGGATGAGTTTAACAGTTACGGTACGTAACTGTTAAACTCACCCGGAAAAAGCTGATCCTGTAACGGATCCTGGAAGGTATGGCGGGAAAATGCAAAATCTAAAAAAAAAAAAAAAATGGACCGTCTTACTGATATTCATATACTTTACCGTATATCTGAGTATTCATGTGGACAGCGTACCAGCGACGATGACGAATCGGTTCATAAAGATGGCGAACACATGCTTTGTACCCGCCGAATTATGCCAATTACGTAATAAAGTTAACGTTACTCTTTAGTTCATCCACGATTTCGGCAGCAACACATCACTATTCCGCCATAATTTTTGCTTCTATTGCCTTTTGATATTATCTTCTATTGAGGATTTTTTTTTTAGAGTTAGGACATGTATTATATACAGTAGCGTGGTAATGCAATTCAAACCACCTGCTCTCTACAGCCACCTCCTCCTCCCATTGCTCGTCGTAAAGTTTACCTTCTTTGTTAACCAAACAAACATTTGAAAACCTTACCTAATGTTTCCTAACTTGTAAAAATGTTAAGAATAGCTTTTGAGTATATGAATCCCTCATCTGAACACCGAAAACAACACCATCACATACTAAACGTCGAAAACAACAAAGGACTTTAGTGTAATGTTTTATGCATAATACGAGTCTGAAAGGCCAGTAATACATACATGGTGATTCAAATTTATTTCCAATGTCCGGAATTTTTTTAAGACATCGTTCGTGTATTTAGGAAAACTCAATTATTCGACTGATCAAAGTATTACATTTACATTTTCTCGATAATTTTCTTACACTGATACCATGTATGACCATCATACTCATTGTTGTTTTGCAGCTCACTGATCGTCCTCGTTCCTCACTGCCGCCATGTTGAGATTCACCATCCTGCTTGCCACCGTCTTGGTGGCCTCTGCTCACCCCTCCAACGGTAAGTCACTCCCACACTTCCATAGTTGTTAGTGATTATACCTACCCTAATAATTTGGTTTAAATTTTAAATCCAACATTGCAGACATTGACTAGCAGTTTTTATCCGACTAAAAACCTGAAATTTTAGAATGTTTTCCGTCTTCCATTATTAATATTACCGAAATTATCTTCATTACATCATTTCAGTTATTATTTTCCATGAAATGAATAACATCAAATTAACATAATTTTGAAGAAAAATTAATTAAATTCATTTAACGGGCTAGTAAAAAGTTTTCGTCTGGCGCTGGGTGTGATGTCACCTGAAGGCGTCTCTGGAGTCAGTTGTTGACCGTGAAGCCACCATTAAATAACTCGCAGATAAAGTTGTTTAATTTTATTATAAATGAAATTAGTCTTACAACAACTTCGAAAATAGTTATCTGAAACAAGATGATAATAGCATTGGGCGTTTACTCTACATGGGGACAGTTCGAGGTAGCTACCAAACACGGAGGTACTACCGCCTGGGAAGATATTGGAAGCATAATGTGTTGTCTAATGGTAGACCCTGCTGCCATATGGCACCATAAAAAATTTGACCAAGTCCCAGGTTGCTGATCTGACTTTTTGCCTCATTTACACACAATTGCAGGGTCTCAATTGTTTCTCTTACGATTGACAACACAACATACATATATTGTTTCTCACGCTTGATCTCTTTTTTGTAATGTCTTTATTATTATTATTATTATTGTTAGTATTACTATTATCATTATTATTTTATTTTTATTAATTTTTCATTATGAATTATTATTATTATTATTATTATTATTATTATTATTATTATTATTATTATTATTATTACTATTATTATTATTATTATTTGTACAGTTTCGCCCCCCAGGCCCCGATGTGGGCCAGTGACCTGTGCCCGGGTGGGCCAATCCCTGTATAAAAAAAAAAAAAAAAAAAACTGAGGTTGACGTCCCTCCCCCTACCTTCTCCACCAGGCTGATGTTACCAAGACGTATTTTCTTATCTTTAAAACGTATGGTTTATGGAAAGGAAGTAAATTATAGTTACAAATATTGATTGGCATGATTTAAGTGTTTTCTTTTATGTAAATAAGTGTAGGACATTCACATAAATCTTGTGTTTCCTCACAACCCGTGAACAGTTTAATATTACAATATACAGTGTTAAAAGAATGGCATGAACAGAACCTCTAAAGTACCGGTCAGTTTTATATTGAAACTATATAAAATTGGTACTTGTACATTCATGATTGAAAACTTCCTGATAACATAATTGCGTATGTTTAAGAAGCTGGGAACTGTTGAAATATTTAATACTTTAGTTAACTGGTGGATGTCTGCTGAAGGATAGAATGTTAATACTGTTAGTAAGTAGATTATTGCTAGTAATGATAGTAAATAGATTATTGTTAGTTTAGCTAATTAATAAATTTGTTTGGTATTTCTGTGAATAAAATATTACAAGTTAACAGATAAATTGAAAATAAAGTGTAGTATGCCATGAACTACTCTGGGTGAAACTACGGGTAAGTTGCTTCATGTTATTGGCCTCTATGCATCCAGCAATAACTGAACACCTGGACGTTAATCTATTTGTGGATCGCGTTATGGGTTAATTGAGGAGTGCAGTTGGCAAATTGTCCAGTCTTTTTGGATTATTCCTTGGCATACAGCTCACCCCCCCCCCCCACCCCCCATTGTACTCGAAGGGCAACCATTATTTATATACAATATGTTGCGTTGACAGTGGGGATCTTTGAGAAGGAGCTCACGGAAGCGCTGCAGAAATTCCTGGGACCCCGCGACCCCCACATCATCGCCAACATCACCGGCCTTCACATCACCACTGACCACAGCAGGTAAATATTCTTACCTTCCAACCTGGCGCCTCAAAATGCTTGTCTAACCCAACCACCACCTGTAGTGTTGTGATCTTACCACATACCACCACCTACATTGTCGTTATCTTACTACACACTGCCACTATCAGTGTTGTAACCTTACCGCACACCACTATTTGGTATTGTCAAAGGACAGGCACATCTACTACTGGTATTATTAAAAGTAAGATGTTCCTTGTCAAGCTGTTATTATTCTGGGAACATGTTTTCTCTTATCACGAATTATATTATGTAATTTATTATGTAATTCGAATATAAAGTCTGGGTAAGGTACAACCTTTAAGTCATGATACAGGTAACTTGCTCACGAACAACAGTACAGTAACATGTACACTGCAGTACACTATACTATACCTGCTGGTGACTATCTAGCAGGCTGACAACTCACTTCAGGCGGCTCCCCGTCTGTCATTTTACGCTATTTTAAGTTACTATTTACCGCCATTATTTCTACCTAGATATTAATTGGCAGTCATTTATTATGATAATAATGCCCCTTTAAGATAGTTTATATTTAGAAAATGCTTCTTTCCACTATGACTGTAACCTGTACGATAATAACACAAGTTTATGTAGATAAAAAGCTAACATGCCGTGTGACTGTAGAGTTGTTACTGAACAACACTTAATTAGACTATAGTATTGTATTACTGAAACACATGTGTTGCAAGGTTAACCCTGGATGTTTTTATTAACGTGTTGTAAACTCATAATTTTTCACAGATATTAGTGCCTTCCTTTTCACCTTTGAAGATAACATGATTAAACTTTACTAAGAGCTAACCTTCACTTACTTAATCTAACATAAATTTAACTAATACTATTTGAAATATTTTTCAAATTCCTCCCCCCATTAATTGTAAAATTCTCACATTATTTACTTTGAAATCTATGTCTGTTTAATTTTTTATTCTGTTCTATTACCCTCGCCTCCAGCATCACCTTCAATGCCTACGACACAGAGATGTCGGGCTTCGCCAACGTGGTGGTCACCTTCTTCGAGCCGCCCATCCCCTTAATCACAAAGATCGTAAGTATATATATATATATATATATATATATATATATATATATATATATATATATATATATATATGTATATATATATATATATATATATATATATATATATATATATATATATCATGTAGATCCACAATGAAAACGTGGATAAGATAAATCTTGATAAAATCACACGGGAAAAGGGAAACAACGGAGCACATTAGCTTTCATCTTTATTCATGGACAGATGGAGCTGTGAGCTCATATCCTGAGAGCATAAGACTCGAGAGACGAGTTCTCTTAGTAACTGTCTGTCATTTTTCTTTATTGCCCTGAGGGGGTTGTCTCTGAGAAATTACTTACATTATTATGATGATGTAATAAGTTCTATAGGAGTGCTAGAATATAATATTATAGTGTTAGGCATACAATGTGTCGCTATAACACTATAACATGTTTGGTGACGTAAAGTGGTAAAGTTCCCCCAGTGTATAACAGCAGTGGTGTTGCTCTACCTACGGTCTACTCACACCCGCCGGCCTCACTAGCGTTAATCGAGCATGGAGCGGATAGTGATACACAGTAAATTATTTATTCCGATCTTAACATAATTTCTTAAGCTTCTAGTATATATCTATGCTTATTTGAAAAAAAAAAGATTTTGAAATCTTAAGGTAAATATAAATATCAGAGAAACAAATCTGTAATGAGACACTGTACAGTATATAGTAGTGAATAATGATGGGGCTTCATGTTTGAACACAGAGCGCCAGTGCATCACCCAAGGATATGATAGACGGGGCTTAAATACCCGTAACTTAACTGTGGCGAGTATAATATACATTAATGGGGTATGGATGTTGGTATACATGGAGCTACAGGGATATAAACGTGTCTAATCTGCTTCTCCATCTGTAAACTGTTTCACTTAACCGATGAAGGCGCAGATCTACACCACTTTCACATTGAGTTTCAACATTACTATTATGGTATGTATGCTGGTTTTCAGGTAAAGATGAACGTGATGATGGATATGGTAAAGTTCCACACTGACGACTACTCTCTGAGCGGCACTTTCAACGGCGAGCCCACCAATTCCGCTGGCATGGGCGAGTAAGTTGACACGAGTTTACCAGTCGGCTTCCTTGACACCTATCACTACTAATACAGTCTGTAGAACTTGCCTGATCATTTCGTCAGTATAAAACACTCTGGGATGACAGAGCTGCAGATGTATCGATTTAACGAAATTACAGTTTGAGTTTTTCAGAATGTCCAACAGACAATCAAATGTTAACATTTTGAATTACTGTACTAATTTACGACCTAAGAAATGTTTAATCAGTGTCTCATCAGTTGGACGATTCTGTGTAACTTGGTAGCAGAATATCGGTAACTGGGTACAAATGTATCCGATTTGTCAACTTTTCGCCTCAGAGGTTTCTTAGCCAAAGCTAGACCATAGCTTAATTGTGGTAGTAAGCATACAGTGCAGTCTAGCACCATGTGTACCTCGGGATGTTAACCCAATATGTGTAAACCCCTTGTAAACCTTGATAAAACTCTACCTAAAGTGAAACCTGTCTACATCAAGTGAACCCTGTGACCCAAACCCCCTGTAAACCTCATATTGAACCCAGGTGTAAACTTTGTGGTATTGTCCACAGTATGATTTTCAACAAGTTCGGGATGAATCTCGTCCTCAAGGCTGAGAGCTACAAGCTGGAGCCCGTGAAACTGTGTGTTCAGGAAGGTAGCCTGACTGTCGACCTCACTGTCGAGAGCATTGATGTGAGTATCACCCACCACTGTCTTCTTGTTAATGTTTCTGTGTTAGAAATAGTAGTAGAGTCTGCTTATCATTATTAGTAGTAGCTGTAGTAGCGATTATCATTATTAGTAGTAGCTGTAGTAGCGATTATCATTATTAGTAGTAGCTGTAGTAGCGATTATCATTATTAGTAGTAGCTGTAGTAGCGATTATCATTATTAGTAGTAGCTGTAGTAGCGATAATCATTATTAGTAGTAGCTGTAGTAGCGATTATCATTATTAGTAGTCGCTGTAGTAGCGATTATCATTATTAGTAGTAGCTGTAGTAGCGATTATCATTATTAGTAGTAGCTGTAGTAGCGATTATCATTATTAGTAGTAGTAGCGCATTAGTAGTAGTAGTAGCGATTATCATTATTAGTAGTAGCTGTAGTAGCGATTATCATTATTAGTAGTAGCTGTAGTAGCGATTATCATTATTAGTAGTAGCTGTAGTAGCGATAATCATTATTAGTAGTAGCTGTAGTAGCGATTATCATTATTAGTAGTCGCTGTAGTAGCGATTATCATTATTAGTAGTAGCTGTAGTAGCGATTATCATTATTAGTAGTAGCTGTAGTAGCGATTATCATTATTAGTAGTAGCTGTAGTGGCGATTATCATCATTAGTAGTAGCTGTAGTAGCGATTATCATTATTAGTAGTAGCTGTAATAGCGATTATCATTATTAGTAGTAGCTGTAGTAGCGATTATCATTATTAGTATTATTAATATCATTAGTAGATTATTATTATTAGTATTAGTAGCAGTAGCTTATTATTATTAGTAGTAGTAGTAGTAACAACAGCAGCAACAGCATCAATGACTAAATGAATGTAACAACTATTTAATCATAAAAAAAATGGTCACAAAGTCCGTTGGAATAAATCTTCTCACAAAAGCCCGTGTTAGGGATCAGGTTAGGTCATGATGGCATGGCAGTGTTAACATGAGGCTGTTAGTATCTGATAGCTAGTATGTGGTGCTGGTGATGGAGACTTTGATTGATTGATTGATACGTTTATTGAGATACAAAAAACATTAATACATCTCAAAGGGATGAAGTGACATAAGTCATCCCCACCCCAGTCCAGGAATGTCCCTCTCAGGACTCACATAAATCCCTAATATTTCATATAGTCAGTTAAAGTACATAGTTATATTCTAGATGATAAATTTCTATATTTCTTTAATATTTCATCTATTTTCCTATTTTTAAACATCCACTCTATTTGCATGGGGACATTATTTATATGGGCATTTCTATAAACATTAAGCAATGGTCATTCCAGTATATATTGTGGCAGGATATGGGATCTGGATGTTCTACAAACTCTACATTCTTTATCCTGTTCACTTCTCTCAGCTCCAAGTTCCCAATAATATTTATATCCTAATCTTAACCTCATATACACTGAATCTTTCCACCTACTCCTATCTTTCCCATTTGTAAATTTTGTGTTCATGAGAACATGTGTGATGAAGACTGTCCCTTGCGTGGCTTACCTACCTCTCTTACAGTCGGAGCTGGAGGGAGCTGATGACATTAACGCTGACATCGACGCCAACGGCCCGACACTCATGGAGGGCGTGCAGGTGTTTGTCAACGAAAATGCGGACGTTATCGTGGCTGTCATCAACGGCGCCCTGTGTGATGCCCCCTGAACACTCTACTCACCTTTCTTCTTTGCTGCCACAAACATTTCAGAATACACTTGAATTGTTGCTTGTTATTTTCTAACTTATATTTTTGAACTCATGTATTTAATCACTAAACTACTGTTTTCTTTGTAGTTTTCCAACGTAACTTTCCTGTTCAGTCATGAATACTAATAATAAGTTAAAAAATAATTGGACGTCACCAATTATTAAGCAACTATATCTATGTATAATAAATTCATAGAGAAACCAACAAACAAGTTCGTCAAGCAGATGAATATCTGTTTTGTGTTAGCGGGAATTTAACTAGTAAGTAAATACGGTTTGTCTCACTAAACTCTGGAGATCCATCCTGTTGATGAGTACTCGATTCAATGTACCCCAGACAAGACAAAACGTGACAGGAGGTTATGTCGGTCCGACTAGACAATGAAGCTGGATATTATGTCTGTTTTCTATTGTCTTGAGATAAATAAACTGATGCATGCCCTCCCATGTGTTTCTTAACCCTTGGTGTTTGAACACGGACACCTTACAGGTTTCCGGTTTCCGTCATTTTTTCCACGAATTGTCAGTTTTTCTAGCCCATATCGCTCAGACGAAACGTATCGTTTCCGCCTGTGCCAATTTCTGTGGTCAAGTCAAGCTCTATACTCGACAATGAAGATATTTATATAAAATAAATATCGAATCACGTAAAATAACTAAATTTAATTTTAAACGTATTCAGTATCGTATGTTTAATAAAGTGCTTAAGTGTAATTTATTTTATTGATGTTGATATTCGTAAATACATTTGATGTTTGTTTACACTGAGCCATGTGTTAACTTCTTCATAGCATATCTCTCTATTCATGTGTGTACACGCCTGTCCGAAGAGTATGTGATAGACAATATAAGATATTCATCGTTGCCTGTGGGATCCAAAGGACGATAGATACTATACAGTTAAAAAATAAAGGGGAAGGCATACAACGCCGTCTTTATTTACAATTGACCCAAGCACGCTCGTTATCTTTGCATGCGTGACAGGGAGAGCTCAGATTATTTTTGCAATTAAATGACGAAAAAAGTGCTATTGTGACGCTGCCTAAAAATGAGTGGTGTCACTTGGAAGTCACCGTGTAACAGCACCATTTGTATTATATAAATATTTACCCAAAGGTATAATACCAAAATATTCACCAATATGTATGAATGAATTGGTGAGTTGACATTTACTCCTGGGAGCGCGAGAGGTCAAGATGGGTCAGCACATCTCAGCAACAACACATCTGACGCGTTTCATTTCGAGGCCTGCTTGTCCACCCTCTCTCCCTGGTGTGAGAGAGAGACTTTCATATCACTTGTTACCCAGTGAACACCTCACTTAAGTGTTCTCCTGAAGTGCACTAAGACTTTTTCCCTTAGTGTATAAAAGGCACAATATATTCTCAACTGACCTCAGTACCTGTGAAACTATATTTTCTACAATAAAAGAAAACCAACAAAGTGTTTACTTCAGCCCTGCCACTTATCAATTCCAGAACTAATATATATATATATATATATATATATATATATATATATATATATATATATATATATATATATATATTATATATATATATTGTGTGACCAACACAACCTGACGAAAATTTACGCGAATTGTCAACAAAATGATTCACTGGGAAACATCAGAGAATTAAATGGTCAGGACTATTGTTAGGTAGTTTACCACTAGTTACAGGAGTGGAGGTGGCGGGCTAAATTAATGTCAATGGAAGTGCAGTATTTGCGAGAGTTGGACTCGCTGCTATACACAGCTCCACAGGTTAGTAGATGGTATTTCCGAGCGATAGATTATAACATCGTCTTGAGTTTAAAGCAAATCCCAGTATTAACCTAGTTTCTCTTTTTATTTAAGGAGATGTATAATAATTTTGTTGAATGGATTTGTTAGGCATGTATTGAGCTCTGTTTAATATTCGTCGATGTTTGTTCCAAAGTGAATCTGAAGGACCGAAACCTAACGTAACTGGCAGATACCCTAGTAGTAATGTTACTTGATTTTTTTATATTAGCTTCATAAAAAGTTTTAATTTTAATTTTTTTCTATTACCATAAATCACCTCTAGTGGGAAGGTTATGAAAGATGAGGGAATTTGCAGTGAAAAACTGATCATATTACACTAAAATGATGTTTACGTTCTTTGTACGCCAATAAATTATTTACCGTAAATATTCCTCTGAAAAATCTGCTGTGTCGTTGGGTGTTGCTCAATAATTCCTGGAGGGTAATTGTGCATTTCACTGTACTAGTTGAGTGGTCATCCCATCTCGGAGGTTGCCTTAAGTCTACCCCCCACCCTCACCTCGTTGTGTGTGTCTCTTTTGATGGTTCCATGACAAAACCCCAACGGACAAAACCCAAACGGGGTTGTCATTTGTCAACACTCACCTAACCTAACCTAACCTAACCTAACCTAAGCATAAAAGAGTTTTATTTTATATTTTATATATGCGACTGGGGTTTTGTCCGTTGGGGTTTTATCCGATCACCCTTTTGATACAGTAAGTTACTATAGTATGGGCAAACAAACAACAAAGACAGATACTGGATATTTATTTTTCACTCCTCTACACTTGTTGTGTTATGGCCAGCTCTTGTTATCTTATTCCTATTCCTCAGCTCAGTAATATATATATATATATATATATATATATATATATATATATATATATATATATATATATATATATATATATTACAAGGGCGACATCATAATTCAGTTTATATAAATAATAATTTCACATTAATCAGTGTTGAGGTTATTTGCTCCACGCGCAATTTCTGGACGAAACTTGAGATAAAGCTTTATTTAATATATCAACTCGATTTACAGTACAAAAGAACATTTATTTTATATTCAAATACCTTGTTAGCAATAAACCGAATCTGCCATTTAAGCAACTCTACTGTGGCAAGTTTCAGTGTAGTCTCGTTCAAGATTCTTCGAACACTGCTGGAGACAGCTGGCAACTCAAGGCCGTTTGCTTACTATAGTACGTAGTATAATATAATACGAAACAACAAAGCCCAACCATTTAATTAAGTAAAGGGGAACTAAGTTACCAATCATCGATCACTTTTACATTCATAATTTTTACTACGTACTATAGTAAACAAACGGCCTTGATATGCCAGCTGTCTCCAGCAGTGTTCGAAGAATCTTGAACGAGACTGTACCAGGCGTGAGGAAAACAAAGTTCAATAACTGCTGTAAATATGTTACGATGTAGTATTATCATATTTGTTCTCTGTAAAAGGTCTTATATTCTGACTTTTATTTTTTAGTCATATGTTTATAATTCGTCACTAAATATCTTAGTTACGAACACTTGTACACCAACACCAGCCCTACCTTCAACCCCTCTCCCTGCTGTGATAAACGGGTGATGATTTGTGTACTATCAGCTCCCAGATGACTCCTGCGGGCCTCGCTTTTCCACACCACCAACTATTCGCTCACACCATCAAAATGTTGTAAATATTTTGTTATTTAAGTCTTGAAAACTGTTTATAAATTAACCGAGTGATTAAATACTGTACTAAGCGACTTCTCTGTACATCAGAGATCATTAATTTTGATCTGCTCATAGTTGACTTATTAAGCAGAGTTTGTGTATACTTAGGTAACATCCACATCTCGTGGTGGATAATCAAGACAAACTAACCAACTCATACCGAGTCCGTCCTTAGGCTTAACCAGTTCCTCTGAACAACTAAGGTCATTCCTTCAGCTACTAATTAATCAGAAAATCCCACTTAATTACAGATCAAAATTGTTTCTGTTGCCTCTCACTGTCAACAAGGGCAGTTTTCCCAGTTTAAAACATTAGAGGTTAGGTACCTCGGTGGGGTAGCTAAACCTGCCAACTCTACTCCCAACAAAACTCTCATGTGTAATTCTAATCTTAAACATGACAAGCTTTAACTAATTTGAACTTCTCTTAACAGTTCTATGGTATGCAAAGTCTGGAAGCCAATAGTTAGGATCGGATGTGAACTCTCAAGACTGGGTGGCCAAGTATGAACGATGAATACACCAGTCCGGTGAACTAAAATAAATAAAGGCAACGATATGGAACTGTAGGTGAACATGTGGTGACTATATGGTGAAAGTAACCTGTGGGTTGTGGGCGACGACTATCCTTACAGGTGAATGGAGAACGGCAGATCTTATCAATAATCCCCTTACAGCCATTCTCAAAAACAGAATTTTAGTTTTTGAATTTCCCTTTTGAAAATTCTTTCGTGTCGTCTGATGTGCGACGCCCATTTGACCCAACATCACATAGCTAGACCCTGTTACACCTTCACTCGTGTATCTTAATATCTTTATTTTGTCAGTCACCCGAGAAATTTTCATTTTGACATTCCTTCAAAGGCAGGAGCGATATGGTAGTGAGACATGACACGTACAGCACGAGACAGCACAGTCGCTGTGTGGGAACATATGGCACCTTAACCAGTGGCAGTTTTGTCTTTCACTCACGCTGCACAACTCATGAAATTGCAGGACACTTATAAAAAATAAATATGCTAACATTTATACATATTAAAATGATGTACTAGTTACATAAATAACCAACCCGATGTGACCTGCTGTATTCTAAATCTTATGAAATTTTACAAAAATTAAAATAAGCAGATCAATATCAATTAAATTTTGGAAGATCCTGCATTTTCGTTCACGGCGATTTGTAATTGTATTTCATATTAACATATATGTATGATACATGATGCTTCTAAAACAAGGAAAATATATTCTATCACGTTCAAGACATGTACTGACATGTATGTTTATTAATATGAAAGTGGACATGTATATATAGTTATTTATATGATTCAGTTTTTCCATTACATAGATATTATATTTTAACTAAATTTACAATCACTTATATATATATATATATATATATATATATATATATAATATGGCGCATAAACCTACAATCTCTATACACTAATTTTTGTCAGTATTAGCCCCTCTGTGTTGTTAAAATTTCAGTAAGACGAGAGTAAGATGTTTAGCTAGAGATGCTCATGAATATTGGTGTGTTAGAGTGAAGCGGGAAGGTTCAAGTTAGGTGGGTGCACTGTCAGTGGTTGACCCTCCAGGTACAGTCACCATACTAGGGCCATTCAACACCTCTGGGTAGTTAGGAAATTTATTGTCTAGCATCCTGGAGAGTTGTGGCCATGAAGAAGTTGAAGCAAGGTGAGGTGAGGCTGTGTTTCCGGAAGTTGTTGGACTAGCTAGTGTGTAGAAGGACCGTCAAGGAGGTTGGCTGCTGCTCGGCTACACCTACAAAGAAGTGGAGTAGTGAGGGTGTCTGACGCCAGAGACAAGACATAAGTTGCCGCCTCCGTGCCCACAAAATGAAATCCCAAAGCCACCCGTCTAACCTGTAACCTTATATGGCTACCTTATCCACCATAGAAATGTACTTCACAATATTGTCATGATCTTCTGGTTCGCTATGATTGAGTGAGCAATAACGGGATTTAGTGGTTATTGGACATGACTTTATTTTGTTTAAGAGTTTCTTTGGTTCATCGAGTTTTATTGTTACCGTTTTGGTGAAGTGTTGTTTATTTTGGGCTCCTCCCAACCTGGAGTTCGGACCCCTTCCCTCACTACCCCACTGCCCCAGAGCTCGTGGCCAAGCAGGTTCCCCACAAGTAAAACATGTTAGGACAGATGAGAAAAATTATGGAAAACGTGATTACCACTGAGGTGTAATAGCTCGTTTCTTTAGGTGAAGCTGAGGCCTGTTTTCACGAGGTCAGACGCAAGAGGAACATATGAGAGGGAGACAGAAGGCTGAAGAGGTTTCATCCTGGTGAATGGTTACCTCCACCACCTGACTTCGCAGGTAAGCTGGAGGTGAGTCACTACTGCTGCTGCTGCTCACGCTAACTAATACATATATATATATATATATATATATATATATATATATATATATATATATATATATATATATATATATATATATATATATATATGTTCGTCCAAAAATAATAGAGAATACGATATAAATACTATGAGATCACTCTGTACAATCACTCACACACAGGAGGTGACACGTAGTTCTGACACACAGCTAATGACAAGTACCTGATAACAGCTGGGGTCAAGTAAATGTGACACCTGGTGAAACGTACACATGGCACAGCTGTGATACATAACTGATGACACGTAGCTGTGACAAGTATCTGTCAAGTGGCTGGTAACAGCTGTGACACATGGCTTGTGACACTTATCCGAATCATACAGTTGGTGGCAAGTAGCTGTGATACATGGCTGGTGACATGAGTTGTGACACGTATCTGTGTCACAAAGCTGGTGACACGGAGCTGTACCACACATGTGTTACATGGCTGCTGACACGGAGCCGTGACACAACGTGGCCAATTTTGGAGCGTCGACTCCCAGGGCATGAGACCAACTATAGTGGCCAGCTATGACGAGGTCCCATAAGTTGTATAGTTTACCGGCGTTGATGTTAACCTGGACACAGGGTGAGTCCACAGCCTTCACCTGATGGTTTTACAGCAGAGCGTAAAGATGAATCATGGAGAACAAGCACTACACGCACCAGACGGCGAACCAAGCTTTTGAACAAGCACTGAACTTACACTTGTGAAGCAGAGAAACAGTGAGTTGTCCCCCTTAACAAGCATTGCCACAAAGCTACATAACCTAAAATTGGACCTGGAATTGGGGGGTTCCACTCGTCTGGTTCATATCATTAAGGTGATCTTCCTAAACAAAATATTTGTTTCTGGGAGAACTTGTAATCACACAACGATCCATATTACAGGACAAGAGACAATACAGTCGTACGACCCAACATTGAACAGTAACGACCTAAAATTCACATTGGACATTTGTAGACCCAACTTGGCCTTCTGGTTAATTGTTGTCACATTTGGTAGCTCCATCTGCTTTGATTACAGGTCGGTTGGGGTGAGACCTCTACACCGCTCCGCATGATGTACGGACAGGAGGAGGCATCATAAACACACAACTACTTGGTGGGTCAGAAATCATTCACATCACTCCTATTGCAGTAATAAGCAAGCAGTGTACATTATCTGAGAAATTTTCAATAAGTTGCGGAACGAGACCAGACTGTCCTCGAGACCAAAGATGTCTGAGATGAGTTCCCGGTGTGAGGCGTTATGATGCCGCTCCTAGTGATGATGGTTGTGGCTCTGGGTGAGTTATCCTCGCCCCATCACTCGTGCCTCCTAAGTTACTCCCGCAGTTTATGCCATTCTGCTATCTGACGACGCGGGGACGTCACTACCTCGCTCCAGTGATGATTGGCCGAACCGCACGCTGCTCTGGTCCCGCCCAGCTCCAGCCGACCAATAACCTGTATGGACAACCCATTCGGTTATATGTGCTCTTACCTTTATCCTAACAACACAACATCATCATTTTAAACCTCTGTGGGATGAAACTTAACAGAAGAAACATGAGCTACAGCTATGGAGTGGATACTGCAGCGTTACGAAATTTAAAAGCACCAACTTCACCACCATAAGCTATGCTAGGTTCATAAAATCCACACAACATGAAAAACACTCCTACACCCTGGTGGAGAACAAGGCGACCAACCTCGTTCTTGGTGACTCGGTCCCAGTCGAGCAAAAGGAACTCTAGGCTGATGCTGTCGAGTCCATCTACTCCGGCCGGCAAGTCGAACACAAAGGACTCATTAAACACCGGGTTGAGAGTCCTCTTCTTGACGTGCGTCTTCTTCTTGGCCACCCGCTGCCCATTGTACAGCAGGTAGATCTTCACGTAGGGGTCTGAGGGAAGACACAGGGTAAGATTTTCAGGTTTAAGCTAGAGTAATGGGTAGGATTTTCAGGTTTAAGCTGGGGTAGTGGGTCGGATTTTCACGTTTAAGCTGGAGTAGTGGGTAGAATTTTCACGTTTAAGCTGGGGTAGGGAACAAGGGGGCTAAATTTTCACGTCTGGAGACCAAGATGGTATAGTCACAGATTCAATTAGATGGTATAACCGTTAGTTACATAATCATGTAAGTGTACAGTGCGGTGAATGGGGATGATCAGAACTAGAACATTGTCATTGGGAAATTTTAGTAACTTCATGTTTATTAAGTTTAATTACATGAAGAACAGCTTGAGGGAAGTTATGACCAAAATATATTTGTAGTTATTGCATATCATATTTCACTAACATTAAGTACTGTATGTAAGGTATGACTCGTGAAATTGCTCTTATTTGGGATAAGTGTCCCGTTGATGAAGCTCCACCTACTTTAGGTTCCCTAAGCAACCATAATGATTTATGGGAATTAACTCATTGTTGGTTCTGAGGTGAATCATGCCATCACCTGAAAATATTCCATTATATCGAAAATTACAAAGAAAAAATATGTCAGAGAATTTGCCTATGTGACGTTGCGACTTATTTTTGTTACAGTGTTTAAGGTGAGCAAAAGTTGGCAGAACTTTGTTATTTAGTAAATGTATATGTATTACTGCTATACCATTCATTATTACACAACTTACAGAATATTTTGTATCGCTTATGGATATTGGTAACATTCTCATATTGTGGATAAACAAATACTATAATAGTTATAGTGCGCCATGTTGTGCCAACTATGATGATATTAGTTTATTTATTTCTTCAGTTATCTTAGGAATGATTTCATAAGTGTAAATAGTGTTTGGGATGAGAAAAACTCTTGCGTAAGTTTACAAACGTGTTATTTTAGTGCTTGTGTTATATATGCCAAATGTCGAAAGAAAGGAAGCTGTTAAAGATAAGAAAACAGACAATATAAATGTAGAGAGGGGATCCTACCTCATAATTCCAATTCTTTAATGGGAATTTTATCGATGAGTTCGTTATAATACATAAGGCACAGAAGTGGTGACGGACACGATAAGGGCATTATCACACTATAGCCTTTTCAATATTCACAAATACGAAATAAAACGTTTTCCGAAGCTGTAGATCACATAATGTAATTTTACATAGCAAGATGCTTACCAAGCGAGCGCCATCTGTTGAGCGAGAAAGGAAATGAAAACTGCCGGGAAATGAAGTTAAGTTGCCAGTTAGTGCTGCTGAGAGCGACGCTCTTGGATGGGGACCAGGTGGAGAATTTCCTTTATGTGTAAACCAATAGAATTTTTTTTTTTTTTTTTCGGGATTAGCCCACCCGGGCACAGGTCACTGACCCACATCGGGGCCTGGGAGACGAAAATATAATAATAATAATAATAATAATAATAATAATAATAATAATAATAATAATAATAATAAATAAAATTTATAATAAAAATACACAATTAAAAATAAAATAAAATAATAATGATACAGGTAACAACAATAATAATAATAACAATAATAACGCTGTAACAATAATAACAAAGAACTATAAAGAAAAAAATCAATAGTGAGAACTGATATATGTATGTTGTGTTGTCAAAGCAAGATAAACAATTGAGACCCTGCAATTGTGTGTAAATGAGGCAGAAAGACAGATCAGCAACCTGGGACTTGGTCACAATTTTCGTGATGCCATATGGCAGCAGGGTCCACCATTAGACAGCACATAATGCTTCCAATATCTTCGTGGGTGGTAGTACCTCCCTGTTTGATAGCTGCCTACTACATACTACCTTAGAAATATGTACCTGAATATATATTGTCATATGCTTGTATATACCGGAAATATACATAAACCTACTCACCTAATTTTCCTACATATCAACACAGGCGCAAGCATACACGAATTGCTTATGTATATACAGTATTTATAAAAAAAAATATTCACACAATTATATGTACTATAGTATTCATATACACCATACCGCCATTCTGTTACCTGCCCGCCGTAACTTAATTATCCTAAACCTGACAATTTAACGTTAACAATTATATGTATTTTGAACGGTGAACAAATATCAAAGTATAGGTATATGGATAATTTAGGCCAGTATTATATCAATTATTGTAATTATCACTTTTAATTCACTATCACACTTGTAAGCAATTACCTACAATACACTATTGTAATTTTAATTTATAAGACTATTGTAATTATCACTTTTAACACGTTTACAAACACACTCCAAAAAATGTCTTCACGGAGGAGCAGACGAGTTTCAAAATGAACACTGCTACATCTGCTGTCTCTGTAGGGTTGTCAAAATCTTTACTCCGTTGCCATACTGCCCAACACAAAACCGCTAAGTTCTGGAGTGTGAAGTATGTTAGGTAACACTCAGCAGCCAGGGAGGTATCGTACATCGCCTCTCCTGGTGGTCGTCTCAGATATACTGTACTGTACTGTATTACTTTTCAATAGTTTTGTAATATAGGCCGCCACTGTCCCGGGTATCTGTCTAGTTGTTGTCTGGATAAATATGTCAAGAATTGGGCCCTAACTCTGGTGTAGGCTCACTGTCTCGTATATCAGGTTTTAATATTCTACTAACGATAAATGCAATTATTATTATTACTATCTATATAACTGTTTGGTGTTTTTTGGTTTGGAAAAAGTCAAAACTTTTGCATGGACAAAGGTAACATTCCAAGAGTAAAATTTTATCTAAATAGTCTAATTTAAAGTAATGTTAGGTTTGTGGTTTTTTCATGTGACTGTTTTTTGTTCATACAGCATTATTACAATGTGGAGGGGTAGTGTGTCTGGGTGTCCACATAACCTTTTCTTGGTTGGAGCAAAAGTTTAAAATGGATGGAGTTATTTCGGTGAATGACTGCATCTGTGTCTAAGGTCAAGGCCATAGCTGAAGGGCAAAGGTTAAATACGGAAGAGCGAGCAGTAGTACGACGTAAACATTGAAGCTGAGAATCAAAAGGAAAAAATATGAGTAATGAGAAAAACAAAACGCTAATGATTAAAAAATAATAATATTTGTTTTCAGTGTTACGCTCCCTGTGAGGGAGTAATGGTTGGCTCCTGTCATTCACACAAATATAATTTCTTATAGATCACAAAAAAAAGTTATTATACAGTATGTTTATATTCTCCATTTTGTAAATTATTTTGAATGACGATGTTTGGCATCTTTATAAATATGCTCACTCAATGACGTTATAATGTTTTACTGGTCTTCAACAACTAAGGACATTAAAGGCATCATTAGGTGAGTAAATACACTAATACATCAACAATTAAAGGTTATGAGAAGGAAACATATTAGGATTACTCTAGCAGCAGGAAAACTCCAACGTTGCCTGACGTATGATGAAGTTCTTTCAGGTACGATAATTTTGAAGCCCGTACTGTATTTTCCATTGTCATATGCACGTACAGTACAAACGTCCTGAGTTCATAATTTCATGCACATACATTTGGCTCCGACCCTTCAAGTCGCTAGAATCCGGTTTTTATCATTTAATTATTGTTTTAAATTAAATATATATATATATATATAACAAATTTAATAATGAACACAAAGAAGTTATACTCACGTTTAAACAATATAATACAGATCGGCTATTTGAAGATAAAATTATAGTCACACCAAGTTTCAATTAAGGGTTGAAATCTTTAAATCTCGAAGACGATTCCAGTTTATTTTACCAGTTTACACGCACAGTATTCTCAAGTAAGGAGCCGATAAATTCATATGAACGTCATCCTGAATTATAATTTGTTCCGTGATTATGTTGTCGCGATATCCTTGAAATATGATAATTTTGAGAACCTCGTAAGACATTTCTCCTCTGGAGTCTAGACGAGGTCACGAGAAACCAAGGTATCTACCTACCTTGACGAGCAACAGTTCAAACAGCCGCCTGGCGGTGAGCGGGCAAAAGGCAGCCGTGGTGTAGTGAAAACGGCTGGTTAACTTTCTATAGTCTCCGCGTCTGTTTATGTGATTGTTTGTTATGGTTTGTTAATTGACACACAGATAATTGTTTGGCTGTTGTAAAGTGCCTGATCTGAAAAGGAAACAGTGTTGGAATGGAGGATGAATATAGCCAACAGAGGAACATTTTAGTGATCAAGAAACAAGAGCGACTTGACATAAAGGCAGTCACGAGATCAACAAACAACACTTAAAACATTATGGACATCCAGAGTTCTTCATCGTAGAATGTAAGTATTGGATTGTTATGTGTACTTGAGTGGTACCTCCCACACCCATTGTGGTTTTAGTACAATGAAGCGAGAGAGCGGCGCTAGTCTTACATAAGTGTAAGCATAGGAAATGTTCATGTTTAGTACAGATCAGCGTACAGTTGGCCAATACGCACGGCCGCTGGACAGGAGTGTATTGCAATACTGTATTTTTTGCATGCCTTGTGCGAGCCATGGCTGTAGTTAGACCACTTCGTAGCGCGGTTAATTGACAGATAAAAAAGATGGCGGCAGCCACAAGCGCTTACTCGTGTACGTTCTGTAAATCAATCTTTTTCATATGGTTATGTTGTAAATTGAGACGGGTGAGAAGGGTGTTATCCAGTTGACGACCAACATGACAGGTTTCTTCCTGTACTAACACTTGGAAAATAAAGTTCATGATAATGTAACAAATAACGGACCAAATGGCCGAACGACTAGTAAGCTGATAATTAATGAAATGATAAGTAATAAAACAATAACTAATCAGTAGGGGTTAATAAACACCAGCAGCTATTAAACAAATTATAGGCAGCTACAACAATAATCTAACACCTAGGTTGAAACAGTTATATTCAGCTTCGACCTTCTTCTTTGTCAGTTTACTGGTGAGCCCAAGGGTTAGCCCACCATGACAGTGATGTTTTTTCCGTGATTAACCTGTCTGGTGGTATTTGTTACGCTGATTTTAGATAGGGTAAACAGTAGAGAGGTCCAATATACAATATCACTTTTGGGGGGCATGGTGCATGTCAACTCTAGGCGTATATAAGAAAAGCACTAGTTAGGGCAACTGTGATGCACACAGTAGTCAACAGTGCCTTCAAGACAATACCTTTGTTCCTTATTCGTAAGATTTGAGTCATGGCCAACTAACCACCACCATACATCGGCAACTCACCTGAGAGGACCGCTGTGTCAAGAGTTGGGTCAAGCGGTGTAACATGAGGGAATTACTCACCAGGGAATCCTTACGTCTAACTTTGGAAGATTGTTTGTGAGCCTTTAAAGCAGTGACATGCGTTGACAGTTTACCGAAGAGGGTATTTTTATGTTCATTTGTAGAGGAAAGCGTGGGGTTTGGGCATCAGCATAAAAAGTGAGAAACCACGTAGGAGAGACGTGTTTTATATATATAAGGAGTTTCAAGGCAGAACATTAAGTAATATATGTAAGTATGGGAACGAACTATATCCCTTCAGGCAATCCTATAATAAAAAAAAATCACATTGCAAAAAATATTATTCCATACAAAGTAAAAATCCCACCGGTTTAGACTTTCTTCAAGATCCTCATAGGCGAAAATTGTTGGGTTAAAGCTGATTAAATATTGTGATGAAAGCCATTAAAAGAATACGAGGGGGGGAGGGATGAAAGACTGGGTTGTGAGGGAGGGAAGGATAGAGGGACGAGAGACTGGGTTGTGAGGGAAGGAGAGAGGGATGGGGGACTGGGTTGTGAGGGAAGGAGAAAGGGGGTGAGACTGGTAGAAGAACCCTCACCTGACAGTCCCGTAATGTCCATCTTGGGTAAGTTGCGAGCCTTGAGGACAACGACGGTGAGGCGGTTGGCTGCGGGCTGGTGGCACAGGGACACCAGCAGCTCACCCCGGCCCTGCGAACGGATCTGTGGGTAACGGGCTCGACATCATACAGGAGAAAAACCTTTATAGGGTCTTGAAAACCACACATTTATAATTATTTATTCACGGTGGACGGTGGAGAGGGGAGAGGCAGGCACTCGTAGGTCGATATATATGTAGTAATAGATGGATAGCCAGATGTAGACAGGCGGATAGAATTAGACGGATAGATAAAAATAAAAACGCATCCCAAGCAAACGCGAGATTAAATTAACTAAAGCAAATAACTATAGTAATTATCGCAAACAAATTTTAATAAAAGTGAGGACAAGTTTTGTTGAATTATAGCTAGATTGAGCCTCTCTTAACAGCCTCTGGTCTTAGGTCTTAACGTAGGCTAGGGTCTTGAGGTCTTAAAATAGCCTAGGGTCTTGAGTTCTTAAAATAGCCTGGCTTGTTAGATAAGGCCTTTGTTGTAGTTTTAACTCAACAAAACTCTACGTAACCTAATCTATCTTGTCTAGGGAAGTATATTGTTTAATGGGGTGGGTGGTCTGAGGGAGGGATGAGAGACTAGGTGGTGAGGGAGGGAAGGGTGAGAGACTGGGTTGTGAGGGAGGGAGGGATGAGAGACTGGGTTGTGAGGGAGGGATGGATGAGAGACTGGGTTGTGAGGGAGGGAGGGATGAGAGACTGGGTTGTGAGGGAGGGAGGGGTGAGAGACTGGGTTGTGAGGGAGGGAGGGGTGAGAGACTGGGTTGTGAGGGAGGGATGAGAGACTGGGTTGTGAGGGAGGGAGGGGTGAGAGACTGGGTTGTGAGGGAGGGAGGGGTGAGAGACTGGGTTGTGAGGGAGGGATGGATGAGAGACTGGGTTGTGAGGGAGGGAGGAAGGTACCGTTATCTCACATACTTGGTACACAAAAGTAGCATCATCAACTCTCACAGGTTTTATACTACACTAAATACAAAATTTCTACTACAGATATTATTTATGAAGAAAAATTTGATCACTCACAAAATGCAGAACTGTGATACGTATTCTATTTTGTACCCAAAGGATATTTTGTTACTTTATAAAATAATTTCTTATGCAGAGAAAAGCCTTGCTAAATATGGTTGCATGGTTTATTTTTAAATTAGGCAGTCAAGTTGCAGTATAAGGAATAGCAAAATATTACTAAAAAGTCGTAAACAAACCCAGTGTCGTTGCAGTCAGACGAGGCGATGGTGTGGCCACCTATGGGCAGTGTTGAGTGTATGACATGGTGTGGGGTGACGTTTATGTGTATGTATGTATGTTTGTATGTGTGTGAGATTAATTAAGTGGTGACATTTGCCTAATTGTTACCCCCCTGAAGGAGTGCCTGTTAAATAATGCCTGGTGGTGTAAATTGCACTATCACGAGCAGCCTGCGTAGTGAAAATGCTTGTATTCTACAGTGATAATCAGAAACATAGTGAAAGAGGAAGAGTTACATTACCTTCTCCAGAAGACACAGGGAGGCGGGGTTCACAACAAGGTTAACCTGAAGGAGAGGGGGGCGTGGCTTATCTACACCAAGTGACAGAATGAACTGCAAGGGGCGAGGGTGAGGCAGGTCTCCACTTTCGTCAAGTCCAGCTGGGTGAGGGTGAGGGAGGAACGGGAGGGAGGGAGGGGAGTTACCTTGAGGGAGCGTGGACTGATCTCCCTGGCGAGAGTGAGGCAGGTCTCTGTGTTGGTTAGGTCCAGCTGGGCGAGGGGCGCTACCACCTCGCCAATGATGTCATCTCGGGAGTACCTGTCGAAGCTCAGCACTACGAAGTGTAGCGTGATCACCTGCGGGGAGGGGGTCACACTGCGTTATTGAGGGATTATTGTGTTATTGAGGTATCGCGTTATTGAGGGATTATTGTGTTACTGAGGGATTATTGTGTTATTGAGGGATTATTGTGTTATTGAGGGATTATTGTGCTATTGAGGGATTATTGTGTTATTGAGGGATTATTGTGCTATTGAAGGATTATTGTGTTATTGAGGGATTATTGTGTTATTGAGGGATTATTGTGTTATTAAGGGATTATTGTGTTATTAAGGGATTATTGTGTTATTGAGGGATTATTGTGCTATTGAGGGATTATTGTGTTAAGGGATTATTGTGTTATTGAGGGATTATTGTGTTATTAAGGGATTATTGTGTTATTAAGGGATTATTGTGTTATTAAGGGATTATTGTGTTATTGAGGGATTATTGTGCTATTGATTATTGAGGGATTATTGTGCTATTGAGGGATTATTGTGTTAAGGGATTATTGTGTTATTGAGGGATTATTGTGCTAGAGGGATTATTGTGTTATTGAGGGATTATTGTGTTATTGAGGGATTATTGTGTTATTCAGGGATTATTGTGTTATTAAGGGATCATTGTGTTATTCAGGGATTATTGTGTTATTCAGGGATTATTGTGTTATTAAGGGACTATTGTGTTATTGAGGTATCGCGTTATTGAGGGATTATTGTGTTATTAAGGGATTATTGTGTTATTAAGGGATTATTGTGTTATTGAGGTATCGCTTTATTGAGGGATTATTGTGTTATTGAGGGATTCTTGTGTTAAAGGATTATTGTGTTATTGAGGAATTATTGTGTTATTGAGGGATTATTGTGTTATTAAGGGATTATTGTGTTATTGAGGGATTATTGTGTTATTGAGGGATTATTGTGTTATTGAGGGATTATTGTGTTATTGAGGGATTAGTGCTTTATTGAGGGATCATCGTTTTATTGATGAAAATTAGTACGTTGCTTTTTAATTGATAATGAACGTTTTTGATAGCCTGTGTAATTAATAAGCCACTCATTATTGATGGGGCCACATGTTATTGATGGGGCCACTTCTTGTTGATGGGGCCATTTGTTATTGAGGGGGGCACTCGTTATTGATAGGGCCACTTGTTATTGGTAGAGCCACTTGTTATCGATAAGGGCCACTTGTTATTGATGGGGCCAACTTGTTATCAACTTATCAACGAGGGCCACTAATTATTGGTAGGGCCACTTGTTATTGTTGGGTCCAATTGCTATCGATGAGACAACTTGTTATTGATGAAGGCTACTTGTTATTGATGGGGCCACTTGTTATTGATGAGGTCACTTGTTATTGATGAGGGCCACTTGTTATTGATGGGGCCACTTATTGATCACTTGTTTGATGAGGGCCACTAGTTATTGGTAGGGCCACTTGTTATTGATGGGTCCAATTGCTATCGATGAGACAACTTGTTATTGATGAAGGCTACTTGTTATTGATGGGGCCACTTGTTATTGGTGGGTCCAATTGCTATCGATGAGACAACTTGTTATTGATGAAGGCTACTTGTTATTGATGGGGCCACTTGTTATTGATGAGGGCCACTTGTTGTTGATGAGGGCCACTTGTTATTAATAGGGGCCACTTGTTATTGATGAAGGCTACTTGTTCTTGATGGGGCCACTTGTTATTGATGAGGGCCACTTGTTATTGATGAGGGCCACTTGTTATTGATGAGGGCCACTTGTTATTGATGAGGGCCACTTGTTATTGATGAGGGCCACTTGTTATTGATGAGGGCCACTTGTTATTAATAGGGGCCACTAGTTATTGGTAGGGCCACTTGTTATTGATGAGGTAATAAGGAAGACATTGAATTAATCGTATTGAGATTTATCTGTATATATTAAGGGTCACCAAGAATGCTTCCAGAGGTTAATATGATTTTAATTGTTGTAAATGAACATCTTACTCGATTATTGTAAGTTGAATCATTATAGCTGAATGTAAAGATCAGTTCTGCTCTCACCACTTGGCACGACTTTGTAAGAGAATAGATAAAAACCCAGGTAAATAGACGAAGTTTTACTGATTAATAGAAATATAGGTATAGTATTTATGTTAGGTGAGCCGTACCTGAAGCTGTGAGTAGTTGATACCGTAGAAGGTGAAATCTTCATCGTAGACGGGGTTGAGGGTCTTACGCAGCACCCGGGTCTTCACCTTATGCTGTTTCTCCGGGAGGAGCTGCAGCTTGACGTAGGGGTCACTGGAGGTGAGGGCGGGGTCCTTGGCTGGCAAGTCGGTGCACTTAACGATGGTCACTACCAAGGCGCTCTTGTCGAAGTTGTACCTGTGACAGGGCGAGGCTATTGTAATGCTCAAGGGGGGGGGGTGAGGTGGCGGAGTGAACAAACCCCAGATTCTGTATAGCTCTCTTCTTTATCCATTAACACACGCCTCTATCACTAACTGTTTATCCTAACGTTGATGGTATACGTTAGTAGTGTAGCCAGCTTCAACATTTCTGATGGCCAGTTCTCCTTTTGTAATATAATATACAGTTTTGTATAACAAAGGTAAAGTTTTGGTAAGACTGGCCAACTGCCTCACTGCGCTGAGTGAATAATACCACTCGAGGAATTATAACGTCACTATTCCCCCAAGAGAGCGTCCGGCCTCAACTGGTGGTGGTACTGTCTGGTAGTGTTGCATATATAAGGTCTCTCAGTTACTGTGTCAATTGAATACGGGTGTGAGAGATACCGAAACACTTCTAGATAAACTAAAGCATTCTTATGAATGTGGTGCATGTCTACATTATATCGCGATACACGTAGTGTGGCCAGTGATCACGGGTAGTGACCACAGTTCAATTAATCGATCAATCAAAGAATCAAGTGATAGGGGTGAAGAAGGTTGAGTGGAAGGGTATCAGATGGAGGGAAGTGAGTCGTAGGTGCAGAGAAAGGCGCCTTGGCTTAACGCAGCCTGCCCCGTTGGTCATCAGCAGCAGCAGCACCCCGCACGGCCACGGCAAGGGTGGTCAGTACTGCTTAATATAATTATTGCTAGTATATTTGTTTTAGGTTGTTTCATTTTGTTCAATGGTCATAAAATTTATGCCATATAAAGTTTCTGGTGTAAAGTTTTCAGCTGTCACACTGGAATTAACTTTACGTGGTTTGTTAATACTGTGGGCAACGTAAGTTTTTTATAAATATATACCGCTGATGGTGTCACTGCTCTCGCTCAACAGTGATTGAAACTCTGCACTTCCTAATAAATCAAGTTTTAGTTTATATTTTGTTTGTCTCCGGTGTTTATTTCTTTGATAGACGATATAAACAATAACGAACACATTTTAATAACATCTGATACAACTGAGCACCATAATAACTTGTGTTGGACCTCACACAGGAGAAAGGTATTTTTAATTAGAGAATTTGTCGTGGTATTGTAGGAATAAAGGTTAAAAAGAATAGTCAGATTTAGCTTGAGGGCAAAATTTCCCATTACATTTTCACCAGTGTAGACACGACCAGACGCCATGTGAGAGCCCCCCCCCCACCAACATACACACACACACACACACACACACACACATGTCGAGGAGTATTTAGAATTTCTGATTTTTATTATCATTACGCTGCAGAGATGACAGTTGCTAGAAAATCACCAGTTTGGGGTCTAAGCTTTGTGTTGTTGTAAGTTTTGCCTTCTCTTACAGACCAGTCTCAGCTGACAACTGTACAGGTATTTTTGGGGGTCGGCATATGTAACTAAGGGGATGGTGGTGAGGACTACTGCGGTGTCAACAATTATAGTTATTGATCGTATTGTTATTACTTATTATTTATTGACATTATTGCATTATTAATACTGTATCATTGTTACAGTTAATGTCGTGTTTCTGTGGTTAATTTTGCTCCTGATATTATAGGAGTGTAATCATCACCATCATAATTACAAGTAACATCATCATCGAAGACATTGTCTGTTATCAGTAAAGAGTCACCAACACACTTGTCTTTGTCCCTAACGTCACTGTCTTCCCGCCCACCCGATCTTAATTTAGATATAGCGTACGTCTGGCAGCGGCGGGCGGGGCTAGTCGGCCGGCCTGCCTGCCTACCTGCCTCACCTCAGCTTGAAGTGGAGCTTGCCGAGGCGGGTTGGGGTCATCTCCTTGGTGGTGAGGTTGCGTTCGTTCAGCTCCAGCTCCTCCTTGGATGGTGTGCTGGGCTTGTCCTGCTCGTTCTCGTACGCCACCTGGTCGCTCTCCCCTCCCTTCATGCCCTGGCCAGGAGTTGTCATGTGTACTCAGGGAAAACAGATTGTCAACATTCATCTGTCTAATTGTATGTATGTATGTAATCTGTATGTGTATGTACGTATTTATGTATGTAATATGTATGCATGCATGTAATATGTATGTATGTATGTGTTAAACTGTTACATATAGATGCATAATTATAAAAAAGGAAATCATTATGAGGTAGTTTGAAACCAGTCACACCTAGTAACGGTTACAATGCGGCTGTCAAGACAATTAAACATTTATTGACATCAAAAACTTCTGTACAGGTAAAAACCACAAGCACATGATTGATAATAGGGAATACAAATAGGGAATACAAAAGCCAGAATAACATGGAATACTGTTCTATATTCTGCTCATTATGAAAACGTCACACTCAACTCCTCCCAGCAGTATGAAGTGTGGTTGCGTGATTGGATATGATTTGATTTCTTAACTGGTAGGGGAGGGGGAGGGGGCTATTTGACAATTTACATGCTGAACAGACTGTACCTACCTACCTACCTAACACACCAATGCTTGTATATACACGATCTATTACACAGAAAACCAATTGATTACGGGAGATAGATAGAGAAATAGTGTACCGTGCACCGACAAGTTTTGACACGCCCCGCTGGTCTTCTCGTTCTCCCGCCACGCTGAACACATCTCACTTTGTCTCTGATCTGACGAAGGGCTGTAATACACGACCTAGAGTTTTATGTTGGTTTTCTGTCTCGAGAAGGAGAAGAGGGATGATGAGAAGGACTGAAGGAGGAAGAGGTTGAGAAGGACTGGAGTAGGAAGAAGAGGGAGTGGAGGACTGGAGGAGGAAGAGGAGGAGAACTGGGAAGAATAAGAGGAGGAAGAGGTTGAGAAGAACTGGAAGAGGAGGTGGTGGAGGGCTGGAGTAGTAAGAAGAGGATGATGAGAATGACTAGAATAGGAAGAAAAGGAGGAGGAGGAGGAAGACTGTAATAGGAAGAAGAGGAGGAGAGGAAGAAGAGAAAGAGGAAGTTGTTTTATATCAACACCAATATAAAAGACGTCCTCGTGTATTACCGCAAGTTTTCAAGAAGGGAGATAGATCACTATCCTCTAACTACCGACCAATCAGTCAGTCTAACACCAATTGTAGGCAAATTACTGGAAGCAATCATTTCAAACTCTATTCGAAATCACCTGGAGAAGCACAAGTTGATCAATGATTCCCAACATGGCTTCACACGCGGGCGTTCACGTCTAACTAATCTATTAACATTCTTTTCATCTGTTTTCGAATCAGTGGACGAGGTGCACAATTATCATGTGGTATATCTCTACTTTAGCAAAGCCTTCGACAGAGTCCCTCACGAAAGACTAATAAGAAAAGTGGAGGCTCATGGCATTAAAGGAGATATTCTAAAATGGATTAGGGCGTGGTTACAGGATAGGAAACAGCGAGTGAGCATTAACGGCACTAAATCCCATTGGAGCAGCGTCACTAGTGGAGTTCCCCAAGGCTCAGTACTCGGACCATTATTATTTATTATATACATAAACGACATAGATATCTGCGTAGACAGCAACATCAGTAAATTTGCTGATGACACTAAAATAGGGCGTGTAATTAAATTTGACGATGACTCCGCAAAACTACAGGAAGATCTAAAAAATTTTTTCGAATGGTCTGAAAAATGGCAGATGACATGTGGACAAATGTAAAGTACTCAGTATAGGAGATGTAAACAAGGAAACCAGATACCAGATGATCAACGATGTTATTGAGAGATCCGATTGCGAGAAAGATTTAGGAGTAATGATAAGTAGGAATCTTAAGCCAAGTAAACAATTTGTATTTGCTCGGAACAAGGCTAATAGAGTACTTGGGTTCATACAAAGAAGTGTTAGTTACAAGACTAGCGAGGTCACCTTAAAACTATATCTTGCGTTTGTGAGACCCCACTTGGATTACGCAGTTCAGTCCTGGTCACCGTATTACAGAATGTATATAGAATCGTTGGAAAGAATTCAGAGGAGAATGACAAGACTAATCCCGGGCATTAGGAACCTTGAGTACAGAGACAGGTTAAAGCTTCTTAATTTGCACTCCCTCGAGAGACGTAGAGTGAGGGGCGATATGATCGAGGTGTATAAATGGAAGTCAGGGCTGAACAAAGGGGACATTACAAAGGTACCCAAACTATCCAACCAGGAGCGAACTCGTAACAATGGTTTTAAATTTGACAAACTTAGATTTAGGCGCGAAATAGGTAAACACTGGTTTAGAAATAGAGGAGTGGATGACTGGAACAAGTTACTAAATATCATCATTAACTCGAATACGCTGGAGAGCTTCAAACATAGGTTGGATGGTTATATTAGCAATAGGGGTTGGGTGTAAATGGGACTGCCCAGTATGGGCCAATAGGCCCGCTGCAGTTTCCTCCATTCTTATGTTCTTGTGTTCTTAAGTGTAGAATTGTTTCGCTTATTTAAATAAGTGTTGGAATGAAAACAAACAAGAGAGAGAGAGAGAGAGAGAGACCTGAACTTTTTCTTTTTTAGCCATATATGAATAACAATTTAATATTAATTGCTTTTATATCATGGTAATTAATTCTTGATATTGTCAAAAAAGGCCCCCTGTTGTTTATTATTACAACGTAACTAACTAATCCTGAAATAGGTTATGTTAGGTTAGTAGTGATGATGTTTATTATTTGATTATGTGATGTTATATAATTTATACCCATTTCAAAATTATTCGTATTTAGCGTAACGTTTATTGTAGACTACAGTACTAGAATAATGAACGATATCTATGTGCGTATGTGTATCTAGAGTGAAGTAATGAATTAGAGTCATGTACGTATTATATGCGTGTGTATGTCAAGAGAGTTTAATATAATGAATAAAAATGACATACATGTCCGTAAATTGAGGATGAAATAATGACCGATAGTTATATGTGTATAATAATGAGTGACGTCACCAGTCGATAGATTCCTACCGTGAATTTGTATATAGTTGAGACTCATTATAAGTTAATTAAGAGGTAAACAGGAACCTTGTCAGGTATCATCGGTCATCTGTCTGTCTCACTCATCATATGGGGGGGAAGACGGTGTGGCGGGCTGGCTGGTGGGTGTAACTTGTGAGTGATGTGAGTGAAGTTTTCACAGTGTGTTTCAGAGAGATGGAAAGGGAATAAGGAGAGAGAGAAAATATATCGGAAGCTTAAATATATAGACAAATGGTGTGTGTGTGTGTGTGTGTGTGTGTGTGTGTGTGTGTGTGTGTGTGTGTGTGTGTGTGTGTGTGTGTGTGTGTGTGTGTGAGTCAAATAGTCAGTCATATAATAGGTGCGATTAAATCAAGAGAGAGATAGGCATCGTAAATACAGATTTTTCACTATGTAGAAGGAGTGAAGTGTGGAGGGGCGTAGGCGGGTGACATGGAGGTATTCATGGGTGTGTTACCTGGTGGGCGGGTGAGGAGTGGCGCGGGGTGGTGGAGGCGGAGGTGAGGGAGGCACAACTCCCTGGTGGTAGAGCACTTGTGGGCGTCCGTGTACCAGGTGGCGTCTTGCCTCCGCTGGGTGACTTGCCTGTGTGGGGTAGAAGGTAAACAATTAATTTGGGGAATTCCATAATAAGTGTACTGATAGGTAGGTAGTTTATCTCGTATGTGTCATTAAAAATCGGGTGTAGTACCACAATCCTGGAGGATAGCGAATGTGATACCGATTTACAAGGGAGATAGATAACTGTTCTCTAATTACCGTCCAATCAGTTTAACATCAATTGTAGGAAAAATGCTGGAATCGATAATTTCAAACTTCTCGAAATCACCTGGAGAAGCACAAGTTGAATAATCAGTGATTCCCAACATGGCTTCACAAGTGGGCGTTCATGTCTGACTAATCTATAAGCATTCTTTTCAGCTGTTTTTGAATCAGTGGATGGCGGGCACGATTATGATGTGGTATATCTCGACTTTAGCAAAGCCTTCGACAGAGTCCCCCACGAAAGGCTAATACGAAAAGTAGAGGCTCATGGAATTGGAGGAGATATTCTAAAATGGATTAGGGCGTGGCAACAGGACAGGAAACAGCTAGTAAGCATTAACGGCACCAAATCCGATTGAGGTAACGTCACTAGTGGAGTACCCCAAGGTTCAGTACTTGGATCATTACTATTTATTATACATTATACATACACGACATACTGTAGATACAGGCGTAGACAGGCGCAAGATCTGCAAAATGGCAGATGAAATTTAATGTGGATAAATGTAAAGTACTTAGCTTAGGAGATGTAAACAGAGAAACCAGGTATCAGATGAACAACGTTGTTATAGAGAAATCCGACTGAGAGAGATTTAGGAGTAATGATAAGTAGGAATCTTAAACCAAGACAACAATGCGTATTTGTTAGAAACAAAGCTAGCAAAGTACCTGGGTTCATACAAAGGAGTGTTAGTTACAAGACTAGCTAGGTTATCCTAAAACTATATCTTGCGTTTGTGAGACCTCACTTGGATTACGCAGTTCAGTTCTGGTCACCGTACTGCAAAATGGATATGGAATCCCCAGAAAGAATTCAGAGAACGACAAGACTAATCCCGGGCATTAGGAACCTTGAATACAGAGACAGGTTAATGCATCTTAATTTGCACTCCCTCGAGAGACGTAGAGTGAGGGGTGATATGATCGAGGTGTGTAAATGGAAGTCAGGGTTAAACAAATGTGATATAACAAAGGTAATCAAAATATCAACCAGGAGCGAACTCGAAGCAATGGTTTTAAATTAGACAAATTTAAATTTAGGCGCGAAATATGCAAACACTGGTTTGGAAATACAGGTAGAGTAGTGGACGAGTGGAACAAGTTACTAAATATCATCATTAACTCGAATACGCTGGATAGCTTCAAACATAGGTTGGGCGGATATATGAGCAATAGGGGTTGGGTGTAAATGAGACTGCCCAGTATGGGCCAATAGGCCCGCTGCAGTTTCCTCGACTCTTATGTTCTTTGTATATATATGTGTGTGTGTGCGTGTGCTCGTGCTATTTATGTAAGAAAGAGGGTTAGCCATACTTGTCTTCCGGTATTTACAAGATAAAGTGTTAACAGGGAGAGGGGGATGGTGAAGCCAACTTGGGTATATTTCAAGATAATCTGAACTTTATAACTCACATTTTATAGGAGTGTGTGTGACGCTAAATACAGGTAATCGCTCAAGATAGTTTAAAAAATACAGTAACTAATGTTTTTACCAATTAGGGATAACTTGTGCACAAAGTATATATATATATATATATATATATATATATATATATATATATATATATATATATATATATATATATATATATATATATATATATATATATATATATATATATTGTAACACCTACAGTGATTTACTTGCATATATATATATATATATATATATATATATATATATATATATATATATATATATATAATATATATATATATATATATATATATATATATATATATATATATATATATATATATATATATATATATATATATATATATATATATATATATATATATATATATATATATGATGTAGATATCCACCATCCCTTTACCAGTTCCTCATACACGCACACAAACACCATTAAAATGCATCCATAGTGAGAGAGAGAGACGTGAGGTTAATTATTTGTGATGTTAGTGAATGGCTTTTAAAAAGTTCCAGTACTCTCAGCAGGTTGGTTTTAAGTTGGTTTAATTACGGTGTTCCTTTGAGGCGCAGCTGAAGCTCAAGGTTATTAGCGTCGTTTGAGAGGGGCAGGGGGGGGGGAGGCGAGGGGGTGGTTTAATTCTTCTCATACAACCCTTATGAAACGGGTCGTATGGTGGGGTCGCGTGCGCGCGTGTGTGTGTGTACGGACAGGTAACGATGGTAGTATGTACATATAGATAGATATTGAATAAGTTTTAATTAATCTAAATGGTCCTTAACATCTTCCTTTTTCCGATTTATAATAATTTTTGTATCATCACTCAGCAATGTACACAACACCGAATTAAAGATCTTGTGTCAGAGGTCAGGGTCACGGCTGAAGGTCAGAGGTCATTGGTAAAGTTAAGTCTTGGTTTTCGTATGATTTGACGAATTAATTATTTCTGTAGTAACGCCGCCTTGATTTACATCGGTTATTATTATTATTATTATTATTATTATTATTATTATTATTATTATTATTATTATTATTATTGTCATCGTGGTTCTAAGTGTTTGTGGAGGCAGTGGGGAGTTACATGAAGATAGTAGTGTGATACAAAAGCTTCGCCACAACACAGTAATGACGCAGTAAAGTGTCCCCAACAAGGCGGTATAGAGGCAGTATGTGCCAACACTTACGGGCGGTAGTGTTAGTATTTCTCTTAAGGTTGTCATTCTGATTCACGAGTTACTACTACTTAAGAGTGATCACAATATCCCGGTGACTAAACTCTGTTATTACGGTATAAAACGCCGCCGCGACACCCGACACTCACTCCCTGCAGCACCAAAAGTGACTTAAAACACGATTATATTGAACCTTTTTTTATATGTAACTCACAAGTAAGGTCAGTATTTTAATTCCCTCTTACCTACACTACCCGAGATCACATTTCCTTGTTTATAAATTGAACGTTTAAGGAGAAGGAAGTTGATACCTAATCTTTCACGTGGATGGAAACTAGTTGATACTCGTGTCTAAGCGATGATAAGGTTAACCCACATTTACAAGGATGGATGATGTGACCTCGTACAGAGACCTCGTGTGGTACAGAGACCTCGTGTGGTACAGAGACCTCGTATGGTACAGAGACCTCGTGTGGTACAGAGACCTCGTGTGGTACAGAGACCTCGTATGGTACAGAGACCTCGTGGTACAGAGACCTCGTGTGTGGTACAGAGAAGAGACCTCGTATGGTACAGAGACTTCGTGTGGTACAGAGACCTCGTGTGGTACAGAGACCTCGTATGGTACAGAGACCTCGTGTGGTACAGAGACCTCGTATGGTACAGAGACCTCGTATGGTACAGAGACCTCGTATGGTACAGAGACCTCGTATGGTACAGAGACCTCGTATGGTACAGAGACCTCGTATGGTACAGTTACTCTTTTTAGTGAGGGGCATCAAGGGGTTTTGTGGATCCCTTTTACTATGGTAATAGGCCACGTGAGCTCTCATTATAGTTAATAGGTTATAGGAGGCGAGTAGGAGACAGGGATGGGGGATGAGGATGAAGAGTGAGTGGTGGTGATGGTGAAGGAGGAAGATATAGTGGTGGAGGATGTGGTGGAGGTGCAGGAGGATATGGTGGAGGTGGTGGTGAAGGAAGTGAAGCTGCAAGGGGGTGGATGTGGTGGTAGTGGGAAGATGAGGAAGAGGGTGATGGTAGTGCTTCAACTATTCACACCTAAGGACGTAGAGACGATATCAAAACATAAACTTACATCAATTATTAACATATTATTCCTTCATCCCTCCAGTAAAAGACTATTATATCCTCGCTAACTGCTAGGAAGAAACCTCTCCCAGTTCCCCCAGTGTTTCCTCAGCCGTAGCTACACCACCCAGCCAAATTGACGTGTGTTGAGTACAAAACAGGCTGTCAGGTATTGTTTCAAGATGTGTTTTAAAAGGTAAGTAAAACGAGGGATGTGAAGCCCTGAGATTTACGTGTACCGTATTTTATATTATATTCACGTGTCACTGCTTGGGATATTCTGGCGCTCGACTGTTAACGGATAAAAGGACTATTGATTTTTGAGAGAGAGAGAGAGAGAGAGAGAGAGAGAGAGAGAGAGAGAGAGAGAGAGAGAGAGAGTGTGTGTGTGTGTGTGTGTGTGTATCATGACGTCTTTCAGTAGGACATTTTATACCACACAACACACATGGCTGTAATAGGTCATGGTGGATATAGTACAGTAGCTGTGGGGATTGTGGTGGTGGTTAGTTGTGGGTTGTGTTGGATATAGTAGTTGTTGTTGTGGAGATAGTTGTGAGTTGTGGTAGTGAATTTTTGGATTGTGTTGAAGAGAGCTTTGAGTTATGGTAGAGATACGGAAGTGGGTTGTGGGGGGATACGGTTGTGGATTGTGGTGGGGACAGTTGATTGCTGAGTAAGTGGGTTGTGATGGACACAGTTGTGGGTAGTAGTGCAAATAGGGTAGTAGGTAGTATACTGGGTGGGAGGGTCCGAGGCGAGGTGGATGGGTGGTGGGCAGGCTGGTGGTGCAGGATATTGTGTGGAAGGTTTACGGAGGCAGCCAGGTAGAGGCGACCTCTGCCGGGGTGAACCATCAGAATTAATAGTCTGGGTAATTAGTCTCACCAACTGTGGCTCCCGGCGGGGCTGATGTCACTGTCTTTCATATATATATATATATATATATATATATATATATATATATATATATATATATATATATATATATATATAGAGAGAGAGAGAGAGAGAGAGAGAGAGAGAGAGAGAGAGAGAGAGAGAGAGAGAGAGTCATATACTGTATGCTAACGTGGTGTTTTACTGTGTGTCCTGGTGTTGCACCACTCTACAAGTCTCTACAAGACCCATGTCTTATGTGAAGTATTTTCTTGTGGTACAACGACTGTGTTTACTGAAAACTGTAAAATCTGTTGTAATGCTCCTTACAACACCACAAATTCTCCTTTAAATGAGACATCTCTTCAATAATGCTTCATTACTCTGTTACACAATTTATATCGGGAACAACGTCCTCTATGGTGCTATTTGTGATAGGAAAGTTTCTGCATTTATTAGTGTCCCGCGCTATGCTCTTTAACACAACGTGTGTAAATTAAGAACTGTAACTGTACTGTTGTTATGGCACCACAATTATCCGTAATGTAACAATGCTGATTTATGATGGTTGTTACATAACGTGTGATGGGTAAAGTGAAATGACAACGCTGTTATGGCGGGAATAGCGCCAGGCAGGCATGTAAACATCGTTTCGGAGATCTGAGTGGCATCACTTGGGTAAATTATACATTATGTTGGTTAAGAACGACGACTGACGCATATATCACACTATACACATGGCATTCACAAGAACGACACACACATCACAAAGGTAATTTACTCCATCTTTATAATCTAAGCTTAAAGTCTTGGATCTGGGCTAAAACAATATTTTTTTGTATACGTTGATTTGTTTTCCGTGTGTTAGTTTACTGTTGTGTGCGCTATAACCATCTCAGTAACAACTTCAGCAGGTCGTGATCGGGATAACAGATACTAATGATTATCTAAACGTATCTAAATATCTTCATGGTAGTCAACCCAAATCTTCCCTTAAGTCACCTAAATTAACCTCTCGTATCCTCGTTTAAGTAATGGAACAAAGATTAGATAAGATTAGATGGTCCTAGGGTAAGGGAGTTCTGTCCGCTGTGTTCGCTATATAGGTTAGTGTCGTGTGTTAGCTTTAAGTATCATTTAGGTTAGCGTTGTCAGTATAAGTCATCGTCAGCAGCATGGGTAGTGATGTGGAGTATAATGGTTAGCGCTCTCTGCTAGGGTGGCGTTGTGTGCTAGGTTTGCTCTGTGTGTGTGTGTGTGTGCTACAGCGCCGTCAGTTGGCAGGAGATCGTAAACAGAGGACAGTGTGGTGATGGTATTACCTCAGAGAGTTATGTGTGTTAATCATTCTCTCAGATCAACCAGCGAATGATCCGCTTCAATATTTTTAACATTCATTATATATAACGTTGTACAGTATTGATGTAATGTGAAAAATCAATACTGTCCACTTTCATACAAACCACAAAATCAGCCAAATTCGTATCACCTTAAAAGTCGCTGTATTTGTTTGTTCTTACAATATTATTTTAAATCCAGTACTGAACCAGGTGTAGTCCAGGTTGAAAACTGGCAAAGAGACGTTTTACACCTTCCTCTTGGGTCCGTCATAAACAGCACAATTTCCAAGATTCTTGGGGTATAAATTTTCTCAAGGGAGCTAAAATTAGTAGATCATTTTGGTCTTAACATGGCACCGAGTTTGACAATTGTGAAGGTTTTATATTAACCACTCTTGGGTCTTCTTACATCTTCACTTAAGTGAGACTATGGCCGAGGAGTGACTGTGTATCCTGGGCACGTAACACCTAACGTTATTGGACCACAATCCTAATGGTTAGGTTAGGTTTGGGGAAGCTGTACCGGGACCCATTAAGGCTGGGGCCCATTTGAATAGTGGCCACAGCGAGGGCTGGTAACAGCAGGTGGCCTTTAAATTACGTCACAAGTTTCTGCGTCAAATCCGTTTTCCAATACTTCTCATAATTCTGTATGAGGGAAGTGGATGACAACGATACATAGAGAGAAAGAGAGAGAGAGAGAGAGAGAGAGAGAGAGAGAGAGAGAGAGAGAGAGAGAGTCTTTGAACATCTTGCTTCTCGAACCCCAAACCCACTCCCCCCTCCCCCCATTACTTCGCGCCCAATTAACTTTGCTCAGAGAAGCATCTAAGTACTGTTAATGCCTTTCTCTCTCTTTGGATCCCCTCCTCCCACTCTCATTCTTTCTCCTCTTTCATATCTCTTTCTCTCCTGCTTGATAAATTTTATTCTCTCATCCTTACTGGGGAGAGGAGGAAGGAAGACTGAGGAAATGGTGAGAAAGAGAGAAACGTAACTATAATAAGAGAAAGAGAAAAGGAAAGAGAGGAAGGTAAAGGTAAGAACCCGCAGGAAGACGTCGATGGAAAAAGTAAAGAGAGGGCGACGGAAAATGCACACAAAGAGGCCGACATATCACCACGATGGGCGTAAGGACAGAGAGCGAGAAAGAGAGGGAAAAGCAACCAACAGGAAAGAGGAAGGCAAAGAAGAAGATGAAGGATAAGAGCAGCGAACGGCGACGGACATAACACTAGTGATATCGAGAACAATAAGAACATTACTAACAGCAGTTCGTAGGTAGGAAGAAAAAGAACTGTGAAATGTCAGCGCTATCAACAAATAACACAAGAATAGCAAAAACATCCAAAACAATGAGGCTAATGACATAAAACGCTGCAACCCTATACAAACATAACAATAAAAGTAATCAGTATAAACAACAATGACATTTACAAAAACAAAAAGAGGAACAATAGCAGCAAAATCGTCAACAACTAAAACAAGAAGGATAACAATAAAATAAACAATATCAGCAAATACTAATTAGATAATAAAGAAAATAGTTGAAAAAGAATAAGTAGGGAAAAGAACGTGAGGTAAACAGCAAGAATAAACGGGTGGTGAGAGTAGCTAGCGCGGTGTACCCCAGGGCGAGCGTCCCTCCCACCTTCCTTATGACACTTGAAAATAGATAGAAAAAAAAAAGATTAAAAAGTATGGCGTAAGAATTGAAAATGTAATCTAGTAAGAAACGTTGGTATTGATAATAAAACTCAAGCTTACATCTTCCCTTCTCTTTCCTGGACCAGACATGAAACCACTGCACTAAAGGCGTGACAAAGTCGGTCATCCCCAATGTTGTGAGTCACACCGGTGGGGGGTTCAGGGCTGGGGTAGTGTAGGTGTATAATGATGAACAGATAGATAAGGTCTAATGCTGGGAGTGGCTTCACGAGTAATCATCCTGTGTGTATTTGGGCAGTGTTTTGGTGGCGGGATAACAGGTGTACGACGAGAAAAAAATATATCAAGCAAAGGTCAAGGTTCAACGACAAAAAAAATTTCTGATGAGGGTAACTTACTTCCGGGCGGGGTCTTGGTACCAGTAGGCGAGGGTGACTTCTTCAGATAGCGGCTCTGAGGCTGGGGGTTCTTGACGGCGGTAGGCCTCCTGAGCGTGACCGTCCGCTCCCCCAGCTTCTTGTGGGCGCCACGCCGGCGGTAACATGCCCACGCCACAGCGCCTACTACCATAACCAGCAGTGCCGCACCTACACTCACGCCCACCACTGCCGACGTCGACACTGTGAGGGGAGAGGAATGGAGAGTTAGTGTGGGAGAGTGGATGAAGGATAGCTTAATGTGGGAGATACATGGAAGAGCTATGGTGAGATATACAGTATAACAGCTGGAGTCAGAGTCACTATTAGATTTGTACACGATTGGTAATACTTAGCATGATACGTACTGTACACAGACTGATTATTGTATATACACATACTTCTTTTTTCCGCCAAACAAGCTGTCTGTCTCTCAGTTTACATATTTAGCATTGGCTTATTATGAGAGGTGGCCCGACACGGTCACCTGGTATACAAGGCCTTTCGATTGATATTCCTTGTATGTAAATTAGGTCAGCGAAGCCTCTCAACAACTGCCGGAGATGAGGATAGTCCTGCTGGGGGGGCCACTCCGGAACACGAGACAATCCAACGTGATGAGCTTCGTGTGTCCCTCCCCTCAGCCTCTCTCAAGTACCGCTCCCACACCACCACCGGGTTATCCAATCTTCCGCATCTCTCTACATCTCTCCCTCACCCAGCGTTGCTCACATCTCCCTCATCTATTACCTCTTACCTCGAGTATCCAGTCTTATCATCTCCCACCTAGTAACTCCCACCTAGTAACTCCCACCTAGCACCCCTACCGAGCACCTCCATCCTAGCACTCACCCCACCTAGCAACCCCCCACCTAGCAACCCCACCTAGCAACCCCCCCACACCTAACATCTCCACGGTAGAATTACTCGAAGGGATGAATTCTGAGCATCACAACATGGGGATTGTGAGGGATTATGGTGATGTGAGCCGCGTCACGGGATGCTGCCCGCCATAAGCTGGACAAATTTTCTCCCAATAAGAAGAGCTTTGCATGAAGGGCGATCTTCCGGGGGATAAAGGTTCGTTGGTTGCTGGTTCCTCTAGCTGGTGGTCGCCCCGTCTGCCTTATCCCGTATCACCTGCCCCGCCCCGCTTCGCCCTGCCCCGTCTCCTTCGCCATGCCTCGCCCCGCCCGCCCAGTCTCGCCTCGCCTCGTCCGCTCATCGCCCCGCTTCGCCCGTCCGCCTCGCCCCGTCCGCCTCGCCCGTCCCGCCTCGCCCGTCCCGCCCCGCCCCGTTCCGCCCCACCCCCTAGCTGGTGCCTAGTTATGGTACAATGAGTGATATATGTTATATTTTTTTATTTCTGATAGTCAATTAAGTCTGTTTTTTTTTATCTTAAATTAAGTTAATTTTTCAAACGATTTCGTACATGTTGATTGTTGTAACGTAAACATAAGATCAAAGTCTCTCTCTCTCTCTCTCTCTCTCTCTCTCTCTCTCTCTCTCTCTCTCTTCTCTGTCTGTCTCTCGGTGTGATGTGTTGTATGAGAAAACCTTTATGTGCTCGTGGTCTGTGAACATCCATCTGATATTTTTTCACACAAAAGTTTTAGAGGAGCGTTGTTTTGTTGTTGTTTTTCACGAGTGGGAGGGAGGGAAGGAGAGGGAGAGGGAGGGAGGGAGGGAGAGAGAGAGAGAGAGGGAGGGAAAGAAGGACGGAAGGAGGGAGAGAGGGAGGGGCGAAGAGAGGGGAGACAAGGATGGGCGGAGAGAGGGGAGACGAGGAGCGGAGAGAGGGGAGACAAGGAGGGGCGGAGGGAAGAGAGGGACGGATGGGGGTGAGGGAAGGAAGTAGGGAGGGACTGTGGAGGAGAACGCTCTGAGCTGTAACATGTAAAAGTCAACCCTGGGGAACCTGACGTCATCCCCATCGCTAGACAGGGTGAGAGAATATAAGGATATATCTCCCTCCCTCCCTCCCTCCCTTCCTTCCTTCCTCCCTCCCTCCCTCCCTCCTCCCTCCTTCCTTCCTCCCTCCCTCCTCCTCCCTCCCCTCCCTCCCCTCCCTTCCTTCCTTCCTTCCTTCCTTCCTTCCTTCCTTCCTTCCCTTCCTTCCTTCCTTCCTTTCTTCCTTCCTTCCTTCCTCCTCCTCCCTCCCTCCCTCCCTCCCTCCCTCCCTCCTCCTCCCTCCTTCCTTCCTCCTCCTCCCTCCTCCCTCCCTCCCTTCCTTCCTTCCTTCCTCCCTCCCTCCCTCCTCCCTCCCTCTCCCTCCCTCCCTCCCTCCCTCCCTCCCTCCCTCCCTTCCTTCCCTTCCTTCCTTCCTTCCTTCCTTCCTTCCCTTCCTCCCTCCTCCTCCCCCCCCTCCCTCCCTCTCTCCTCCCTCCCTCCCTCCCTCCCTCCCTCCTTCCTCCCTTCCTTCCTTCCTTCCTTCCTTCCTCCCCCTTTAATCCCCTTTTTGAGTACAATGACAGCCCCTTCAGTGCTGTACTTTAACCCTTTGAGTATTGTAATTTAACCCCTTTGAGTACTACGACATAACCCATTAAGTCATCGTACTCAAGATAATAAATCATCGTACTGAAGGGATAAGTCATCGTACTCCAGAGATTAAAGTCATCGTACTCCAGAGATTAAAGTCATCGTACTCAAGGGATAAGTCATCGTACTCTAGATATTAAAGTCACCGTACTCTAGGGATTAACTCTGGGCTGGATACTGTGATGGAACATCTGTACTCACACATGTTCACATTGTAGATATTTCTTCGTAACTGGAGTTAAAAAAGACACAAAAAGACTGACTTAGACTAATAAAAGACTGACAGACAAGAAAGACTGACAGACTGGTCGTGGTATGGAGAGATGGTCGTCGTCGTGTAGTCAGTTTGTGGTACTGATATGGTCGTACTGTGGTCGTGGTATTCTACGCGGTGTGTTAGTGAAACCTGGCGCCAGAAATCCATAGACTTACTGACTTACACTAATCATCTCCACTAAATTGTGTTAGACAATTTAACGCAATGGACGAAGGATTTTGACAGCCCTACGGAGACAACAGGAGTCACGGTGATCACATGAACTTCATCTACCCCCTCCCCCCCCCCCAGGGTATAGATAATTTTTGAGAGATTGTATTTGGTATTTACTCGACAGCGTCTGCCATTGAAAGACTTATTCCTTTTGGTTTCGTTACATTTCAAGGACTTCTTTGAGCTATTCTTAGGCGCTGGAACAAATAACTGGCTGCCCTGGTGTCTCTTGTGTCTTCAGTGAGTCTGGAGTTCAGTTCATTCAGGGACTCGAGAGTTTTAGTGCCCCAGACCCCCAGACCCTCCTGGGACATAACATTATTTCATTATTTGCGACTCCGGGTCCAATACCTTGCCTCTTCTTGATTTCCTCCTGAGTTCACAACCCTCCCTACTGCGGCTGGACCCTGAGGAAGATAATGTTGATGCCAGGGTGAAGCATATATGCAATTCCACCTTAGCTTTTCACTGTTTTTATAGCACTGTGAGTCTTTCCGGGCGTTAGTTATCAGAACAGTATATTTACAGTTTTTTGAGCATTGGACAATGTGCAGTGGTCGTGATGCAGTCATTAATTTCACTTTGCTTTACGTGCTACTGCCCGGAGGCTCTAAGGGCATGGATTACTGGTCTTCCCACTTGTTGTCATAGGAAACCTGTGGACAGTGTGGACAGGTGCGGCGAGGCGAAGGACCTTTACATAACGGAGGTCATTTGGTCGAGATGAGCCTCTGAGGTGGAGTTTGGATTGGCCAGTAGAAAGACCCCAGCATGCGGGGCTCTCAATGCCAGGTCAGCTGATGTCCTCACGAGCATGTCAGAGGCAATCCTCTTCACGATGAACTTTCGGCTTGCTTACAGTTCCCGGAGGCGTTGGTCCACGCTGGTGGGATATTATAACTGTATATATATCTCCTCCGTTCTCAATCTCCACACCTCCCCCACACTTCTCCACCTCCCCACCTCCCCCACACACTTCTCCACCTCCCCCACACTTCTCCACCTCCCCACCTCTCCCACGCTTCTCCACCTCCTCACCTCCCCCACACTTGTAACGCTGGCAATACTTCAGATTACTATAGCCATTAGTCACACGTCGCCGCCGCTACCCTCCTGGTCGTGGTATGGAGAGATGGTCGTCGTCGTGTAGTCAGTTTGTGGTACTGAGATGGTCGTACTGTGGTCGTGGTATTCTACGCGGTGTGTTAGTGAAACCTGGCGCCAGAAATCCATAGACTTACTGACTTACACTAATCATCTCCACTAAATTGTGTTAGACAATTTAACGCAATGGACGAAGGATTTTGACAGCCCTACGGAGACAACAGGAGTCACGGTGATCACATGAACTTCATCTACCCCCTCCCCCCCCCCCAGGGTATAGATAATTTTTGAGCGGTTGTATTTGGTATTTACTCGACAGTGTCTGCCATTGAAAGACTTATTCCTTTTGGTTTCGTTACATTTCAAGGACTTCTTCGAGCTATTCTTAGGCGCTGGAACAAATAACTGGCTGCCCTGGTGTCTCTGGTGTCTTCAGTGAGTCTGGAGTTCAGTTCATTCAGGAACTCGAGAGTTTTAGTGCCCCAGACCCCCAGACCCTCCTGGGACATAACATTATTTCATTATTTGCGACTCCGGGTCCAATACCTTGCCTCCTCTTGATTTCCTCCTGAGCTCACAACCCTCCCTACTGCGGCTGGACCCTGAGGAAGATAATGTTGATGCCAGGGTGGAGCATATATGCAATTCCACCTTAGCTTTTCACTGTTTTTATAGCACTGTGAGTCTCTCCGGGCGTTAGTTATCAGAACAGTATATTAACAGTTTTTAGAGCATTGGACAATGTGCAGTGGTCGTGATGCAGTCATTAATTTCACTTTGCTTTACGTGCTACTGCCCGGAGGCTCTTAGGGCATGGATTACTGGTCTTCCCACTTGTTGTCATAGGAAACCTGTGGACAGGTGTGGCGAGGCGAAGGACCTTTACATAACGGAGGTCATTTGGTCGAGATGAGCCTCTGAGGTGGAGTTTGGATTGGCCAGTAGAAAGACCCCAGCATGCGGGGCTCTCACTGCCAGGTCAGCTGATGTCCTCACGAGCATGTCAGAGGCAATCCTCTTCACGATGAACTTTCGGCTTGCTTACAGTTCCCGGAGGCGTTGGTCCACGCTGGTGGGATATTATAACTGTATATATATCTCCTCCGTTCTCAATCTCCCCACCTCCCCCACACTTCTCCACCTCCCCCATACTTCCCCACCTCCCCCACACTTCTCCACCTCCCCCACACTTCTCCACCCCCCCACACTTCTCACTCCCCACCTCCCCAACACTTCTCCACCTCCACCACCTCCCCCACACTTCCTCACCTCCCCCATGCCTCCACCCCCCACCTTCTCCCACCTCCACCACCTCTACCACCTCCCCCACACACTTCTCCACCTCCCCCACCTCCCCCACACTTCTCCACCTCCCCACCTCCTACACTTCTCCACCTCCACCACCTCCCCACACTCTCCACCTCCCCACCTCCCCCACTTCTCCACCTCTCCCATGCTTCTCCACCTCTCCATCCTCTCCCCCACTTCTCCACCTCCCCACCTCCCCCACACTTCCCCCACCTCCCCACCTCCCCCACCTTCTCCACCTCCCCACCACTTCTGCACCTCCTCACCTCCCCCACCTTATCTACCTCCCCCACCTCCCCACACTTCCCCCCTCCCCACCTTCTCCCACCTCCTCCACCTCCCCCACACTTCTCCACCTCCCCACCTCTCCCACCTTCTCCACCTCCCCCACCTCCACACTTCTCCCACCTCCCCACCTCCCCCAGCTTCCCTCCTCCCTCGCCCCTTTTTCCTATTCATCTACCTTCTTTCAAACACTTCTCCTATTTCCCGTCATCTCTCTCTCTCTCTCTCTCTCTCTCTCTCTCTCTCTCTCTCTCTCTCTCTCTCTCTCTCTGCTCGGCTGACTCGTGCATTTGATTTATTCATATTGCGGTCTGTGTGGAGGTGGAGGTGAAGATGAGAGAAACTAGACGTGAAAATTGGAGGGGTGAGGGAAAGTTGAGGGAGGAAGGGAGAGGAGATTGAGAAGAGGTGAGTGAGGGGAGAAGGTGAGGAAGTGAGGAGATGAGAGTGAGGGAAGAGTTGGGGAGGAAGGGAGAGGAGGGTGAGAGAGGTGAGAGTGAGGGAGAGGTGAGAGTGAGGGAGAGATGAGAGTGAGGGAGAGGTGAGAGGGATTTGAGAGTAGGAGAGGCGGGTACTAATTTATATCTTCCTCTATATATGTATGTGCTTTTTGGCTATAGGTGAGAAATGTATTCATTTGGTTTCTTCACTTCTAAACTCATACATACATACATACATACATACACACATACATACATACATACAAACATGCATACATACATACATACAGTGCATACATAATAACGTGGACATACTATATAGATAGGAATATGGAAACACGCACACAGCATCACATACTGACATTCATACATACATGCATACCTTTTTCGGGCACACACACACACACACACACACACACACACACACACACGCACACACACACACACCGTCAGTCATCTTTACTTCTATCTCAATAAAACTTTACTGCCAGTGTTCCAAAACTCTCGTGACCCAACGGCATGTCATCAGATCAGCCAGTCTTGTAAAAACTAAACTTCCTTCCATTATCCCGCCTCTGTAAACCAAGAAGTATTAGCATATATATTGTATATCCCACAACCTATAATACTCTATAGGGGTATATAATTTTTTTTTACGTGGACGTATATGGAAGCATATAATTGGTGGGATTCTATGATTTCCTAGGACTGTATAATCAGTGGAAGGAGTCAATATAATCTAGTGTGGGAACGTATAATCAGAGCCAAAGTCCTCTAATTTAACCTGGGACCGTATAATCAGTGGCAGGACTCACCCATGCGCCTTAATGAGACTTGAGTGAGAGTGAGAGCCGTTAGTTCCCTGGACCTGACGGCCAGCTGCCTCGCCCTTCACCCCACGATCTCTCCACGTCACTCATGACCGTCCATAATTAAGAAGAAAAATAATAGCCTTCCGTGGCGTGTACCCTAAGTGTAGATTTACCCCTTCCCTCATTTCCACCCTCTCTCTCTTTCTCCCTTATTGCCCACCCTTACTACTTGGGAATGTGTGTGTGTGTGTGTGTGTGATGGGAGGATCATTTATACCTCCCTTCCTCATTCCCTTCCTCCCTCATTCTCACCCTTACGCCCTGGGAGTGAGTGTGTGTGTGTGTGTGTGTGTGTGTGTGTGTGTGTGTGTGTGTGTGTGTGTGTGTGTGTGTGTGTGTGTGAGGGTGCTAGGAAGAGATCATGTAATCAGTGTGTGGGAGTGATGGGAGGTAAACAAAGCAGGGAGGGCCCTACCTGCCATGGACCAATCTGGTTAATGGTAGTGAGTGTCGGTGTTATGTTGGTACATGAAATATTCAGAGGAGGCCGGCCTGACTATGTGTGTGTGGGTGGGTGGATGTGTGTAGGTTTAGATGTGTTGTGTGTGGGCGTGTATATTGCCACTGATTTAATTCACCTGTGATGAAACATAATAGATGGTAGGGGTGAATCTCTGTGTAAATACCCTGATTGGTGTTGGACCTGAGGGGCGAGGGAGCTTCCACAGTGACCACAACATGGACACTATTACCGTCACCATATATATATAAAGATGAATTGTTTTTACGTCTCGTGGTATCTTGGTACATCATATCCCTGTGTGTACGTTGGTCTGTCACACTAATGGATAACAGTTTGAGAATTCTGCCCAGCAACAACTAATGGACGTGTACAAAAGATCCTACATACAATAGACAGGAAGATTACTGTACATATGAAAGATGTATTTTTTGTTATCTTGACTATATACCACCTGCTGTAGGTCACGCAGGTCATAGGCCATCTGGGGGATACAGTCGTCATCTAAACACACTTGTATATAATACTGTATTCTTCTCTTTGTTAACAACTTTTAACTACTGCTACTACTGCTGTTACTACTACTGCTACTAACGCTGCTACTACTACTGCTGCTACTACATTCTCTACCACAACTACATCTTCGAGTGCATTAGAGACATAGCTCAGCGTCATATCCTCAGCGTTAGTATGGCCACCACCGTCACTTGGAATACCTCTATACGGCACACAAGCTTGACTGTGACCTAGAGGTAGCCCCGGCCAGCGTGTGGAGTGAGGCTATAACTGAAACTCTCTCTCTCTCTCTCTCTCTCTCTCTCTCTCTCTCTCTCTCTCTCTCTCTCTCTCTCTCTCTCTCTCTCTCTCTCTCTCTCTCTCTTGCCCCCTTCCTGTTCTCTCGTGTACCGCTAGAAATTATTATGAACGAGTGGGAGGGAGGAGGAGAGGGAAGAGGTGGAGACGGAAGAGAGGAGAGAGGTTGGAGAGAAAAGAGAAGGGGCTTGAGTGGAGAGGAAAGAGGGATGGTGGAGAGGGAAGAGGGCTGGTGGAGAAGGGAGGGGCTGAGGTGGAGAAGGGGAGAGGGCTGGTGGAGGAAGGGAGAGGGCGAGGGAAGAGAGAGAAAGGAGCTGGAGGGAGAAGAGAAGGGGGCTGGAGGAGAAGGGAGAGGAAGAAGGCCGAAAGAGAGAGAGGGAAGGGGCCGGAAAGGAGGGAGGGAGGAAGGAAGAAGGGTACGATGTGGCGGCAGTACCCTATGGTTAAGTTTGCCTAATTACAGGTGATATATGTGGGCAGGAGGGGGTGAAGGGGTCAGGTCTGTACCCTCACACACCCTAATACACTCCCACACACTCGTTTACACACACACACACACACACACACACATAATTTACAAAAAACAGGAATTTTAGAGAAGAAAATACCAAATACCAACCACACACTTGTTGACATACATACATACAGTAAAAATATTCTCAGTCGTGTGTCCGGTCCAACTTAAACATATTTTGAATTACTATCAAGTGTAAAAGTTTTCATCTTGGCAGCAGAGGACACAAACATATACATTACCAACCGGCCGGAGACACTTACGGCCATCTGCAAAGAGAGAGTTTTTGTTACTAATATTTATGTCTAGGTAATGTTCAGAGCATTTTGTTTATGTATGTAATTAAATGCCAGGGAGAACACACACACACACACACACATACACACAGTGGCCATTGCATGTTTGATGATAATTACGTAAAAAAAAAGACAAATTTTAATTATATAAAAAATCTGGCTGTAAAAGAATTGATGTGTGTGTGTGTGTGTGTGTGTGTGTGTGTGCTGGGAACATCGTGTAGAAGTTGGTTGTCGTGAACACATTAGCACCGGAACTGTGTCTTATTACTACTGACGGGGAGGATCCGAGGAGGGGGTTAGGGGCTACGGAGGGGGTTAGGAGCTACGGAGGGGGTTAGGAGCTACGGAGGGGGTTAGGAGCTACGGAGGGGGTTAGGAGCTACGGAGGGGAGCCACACTAACGTCACCACCCCAGCAGGAACAAATCAATGTCCTTAGTTACACCTCAAGGACGACTACGTTTAGAACAACAACATTAAAACGACCACATTTTAGACTACGAAATCACAGAAAATACATTAAAAATCGTGAAGTAAGAATCAGGATGAAGGGAGACATATTGGTGCACTAGTTTACCCCGAAGCCAGACTGTAAAGCGGCGGCCATATTGTTACGCCAATACAGTACAGTACCTTTGTATTTTTTATAGGATGCACTGCGGGCGGTGTATAACTGTATTGTTACTGTATTAGCTATAGTTAATCGTAGTTCATAGGTGGAAAAAAAACTGTAACAGATATTTATTGATTTTTTTTTGTCACATTAAGAGTGAGTTAATTAAGACTTGTTTAATTGTTTTGTCGTTAGTTAATTAAGGGTGTTTATGTTTATTATTTAAAGTTTATGATGCTAATTGTAAGTAATTAATTAAGAGGTTTTATTTTGTTGTTGTTGTTGTTGTTGTTGTTTATTTACTTACATGAGGTCAGTTTTTGAGTTAATTAAAGTGTTAAGTCTAGTTAATTAAGGAGATTATACCAATTAATTAAGGCAAGCGAGTTTATCAGTTAATTGTGGTTACTATTAATGGGTTAATTATAGTGTGGGTGTAAATTACAGGATGGCTAGAGAGAGAGAGAGAGAGAGAGAGAGAGAGAGAGAGAGAGAGAGCACTGAAAACTTTGGCTCAGACTGGCAAATGAAACGAGTGTTCCGACACTGGCCTCTCTCTCTCTCTCTCTCTCTCTCTCTCTTTTCTGCTTTCTCCCCCCTCCTCACTCTCCCGCTAACGAATATTGTATATTATTTTGTTACTCAATATCCATTTAAAAAAAAAAACACACACACACAACTGAAATAATTGGGAAAATAACTCCCCCCTCAGCCGCCATTACCATAACTCGCAGACCCACAGTGAAGGAATATTAAAAAAGTATATAATATAAAATAGTGAAATGGAAGTAAATAACAAGTCCCCCCCACCACCAGGATAGTTACAGATTTACCAGCAACAATAACAACAACAAAAATAACTACCACCACCACCACCATCACGTAATAATAATAATAATAATAATAATAATTATCATCATCATCATCATTATTGTTAGCGCCATCAAACAGTGACTAATTTTCTCCAATAATTTATATATTATAAGATATTGGAATTCATAACAGTAATGAAAGAAAAAAAAAACCCAGCCCTACACCGTGGCCAGCGTGGGTCAGTCGACGAGAGATGACTGAAGCAACAGCAGGGCCTCAAAATAATACTAATAAGATGAAATAAACACTGAGCTGTCTCTCCAACCTTCGCCTCCACACACACACACGCACACACACACACACACACACACACACACACACACACACACACACACACACACACACACTATAAGATGGAAAAATGTTGTTTAATGAACTCCACGAGATATTGTGGTGTTATATCCCACACACCAGCATCTTCTTCCAGTGTACTCACGGACGAAACAACAAAAGGACAGATCCATTCACGGACAGATGCACACTAAGATGGAGGGAAGAAAAGGACTCCCACTTCAAAGCTGGGGAGGGAGGTGGGGTGGGGGTGGGGGTGGGGGGGAGGTGAGAGAGCAGATAAGTACCATACACAGAACGGAGCCACCAGCACACAACACGGGGATAGACACAGCCTCCATCAGCAGCGAAGAGAGACAAATAAAAGACAAGAGACCTTCCACGCGCTAGACCCGGGTACTGTACTGGGCGGCCCTCACCACCTCCTCCTCCTCCTCCTCTTGATGACATATGTAAATGGAGAGGATCTTTACGTTACTGACCTTCTGCTATTAAAGGTTTAATTTTGAACTCTCGGCGAGGTGGTGGGATCCCCGTCCACTTGACTATAGGTCGGTGGTGCATGAGAGTCTGTCCACACACACACACACGCACACACACGCACACACACACACGCACACACACACACACGTATATTTAAAAACATCGGCGAATAAACTTGTGCGTTGTGGCAGTGTCTCGCCTGGTTGACCCTCCGAGTCTCTATACATTGTCAGGTTAGGTTAGGTTAAGTTAGGTTAAGTTAGGTTACGTTAGGCTAGGTTAGATTGGACTAGAATTGCTTAACTACGTTTGTTTAGGTTAGGTCAGGTCAGGTGGTAAAATGGGTTAGAGGTGACCTATATGCAACACCTTAACTAATTACTATTCTGTACTGTCTTATTTCAGGTCTTAGTTACAGTCTTAAAGCTGTTATCATTTTCTTACCCCACATGTTACTATCCCCCACCCCTCCACACCCCTCCCCCACCCTTCCCTTTCCCCCCACTCCCTTCCTTTCTCCCACTCCCTCCTGTACCCCTCCCTTTCACCCCACCCCCACCCCTCCTTTTCCCCCACCCCCTCCTTTCCTCCCACCTCCTTTCCCCCCACCCCCATCCCTACTTCCCTTCCCCCCCTCCCCCCTGAATTTACAACAAGGGCCGAGGGAACAGAGGTGCAGGGAGAGGGAGGCAAATTCATGACAGGACGTGACAGTAACAGTAATCCAATAACACAACAGCACAGTTAGTGAGTGTGGCTTTTACAATCTGTGGACTGAGCGAGACCCAGGGGGCAGTGGCGTTTGGCATTTGATGTACTGTACCTTGGTGTGTGTTTTGAATAATAATAATGAGAATAATGATGATGATGATGATGATGATGATGATGATGATGACAGTAGTAACAAGAACAACAGCGCCAACAATAATAACACCCCATAACGCCCACCACGAACAATAAAAGGTGACTTGGTTATACTGAACCAGGAACAAGTACCTCCAGTTAAGACTACTCGGGAGGATCACTCGAGGCACTTAACCCTACCCCACCCCCACCCCACCTCACCTCCACCTCCCTCCCCCCCCCACCCCACCCCCCTGCCACCTCACCCACCCACCCCACTCTCGCACACTGGATAAAAACAAATCCTTATCCACAGCTTTAAAACCCGGGTTCGATTTGACCTTGGGTATGGTGGTGTGTGTGTGTGTGTGTGTGTGTGTGTGTGTGTGTGTGTGTGTGTGTGTGTGTGTGTGTGTGTGTGTGTGTGTGTACATGAAAGGAGAGAGGTATAGAAGACAACACAAGAGGCAGGTCCTGGCCTTGACAACAATGCACCTTTATCTCACACCACCACCCACGCCACCACTCACCTGCACCCGCCACCCGCCACCACCCCACGCCACCACCCAGGCCTACCCAGGCCACCACTCCTGCACCCACAGATCATCACACCCACGCCACCACCCCGCCACCACCCAGGCCACCACTCACCTGCACCCCACCCAGATCATCACCCCACGCCACCACCCACACACCCACCACCCACCACCACCCACGCCACCACCCGCCACCCTCACACCTACCCCAGATCATCACCCCACGCTCCCTCCCTACTACACCCCACACCACACACAACCTACAATCACCACCCACACCACCCACCCACACCACCCACCCACACCACCCATCCACACCACCCACGTTGCTCTCTCTCTCCTGTTATAAGAAAGGAATCAAGGAAGAGAAGGACAAAAGAACTGAGATGGTAGATGAGAAGGGGAGGTGGTGCTCTGGGGTGGAAGAAGAAGAGGAGGAGGAAACTTAAGAGAGGAGAGGAGAGGGTGAAAGGAAGCAAGATTAAGTGTGGTTAGGAGAGGGGAGGGAAGGGGAGAGGGGAGGGTTGGTAAGTCCTCTGGCGGAGTGTGTCGAGAGGAACGTGTTCAGGGAGATAACTCACGACGCGAGTGAGTGGGAGAGGCCAGGGAGGGTGAGAGGGAGAGGCCAAGGAAGGGAAGAGGGAGAAGCCAGGGAGAGTAAGAGGGGAAGAGGGGGAGGCCAGGAATGTAAGAGGGAAGAGGGAGAGGCCAGGGAGGGTAAGAGAGAAGAGGGAGAGGCCAGGGAGGATGAGAGGAGAGAGGGAGACGTTTGTCAGTTGGGGTGGAGGGAGGGAGAAACCATATAAGTGAGAGGGGAGAGGGAGAGATCATATAAGTGAGAGGGAGAGGTCAGAGGGTGCGAGAATGGTAGCCTAGGAAGAGTATTAGAGGGAGAGAGAATAGGTGTGAGGGGGGGTGTAGAGGCGGAGTGGGAGGGAAGAGGGGCAGGTGAGGCCAGAAGGAAAAAAAGATGTTGAATGAGAGGTGAGCAATGAGGGGTATATTATATTTATCTCACCCTTCAGTAGAGAAACTTACTCCTTACTGTTGGCAAGTTTGAGGAAGACCAGGTTAGGTTAGGTCAGGTCTGGTCAAGTTAGGTTTGATTTTGGTCAATTTTGGTTTAGGTTAGAATACGTTAGGTTTGGTTAGATTTAGGTCTAGTTAGATTACGTCAAGTTAGGTTTCAGTTACATCTGGTTAGGTTTAGGTCAGGTAAGGTCGAGTTAGGATTGGTTAGATTAGGTCGAGTTAGATTAATTTCATTTCGGTTTCTTGTTCGATCATAGAGTCGCGACCTTTTTTAAACTTTTTAGCACAAAGAGACGTGTG